GTATACAGTACGTTAGTGGTAGAGTTTTTACTCTCCTTCACTGTATACAGTACGTTAATGGTATAGATTATACTCTCCTTCACTGTATACAGTACGTTAGTGGTAGAGTTTTTACTCCCATGTATACAGTACATTAGTGGTAGAGGTTTTACTATACTTCACTGTATAGAGTACATTAGTGGTATAGATTTTACTCTCCTTCACTGTATACAGTACGTTAGTGGTAGAGTTTTTACTCCCCTATATACAAGTACATTAGTGGTAGAGTTTTTACTCCCCTATATACAGTACATTAGTGGTAGAGTTTTTACTCCCCTGTATACAGTACATTAGTGGTAGAGTTTTAACTCCCCTGTATACAGTACATTAGTGGTAGAGTTTTTACTCCCCTGTATACAGTACGTTAGTGGTAGAGTTTTTACCCCCCTGTATACAGTACGTTAGTGGTAGAGTTTTTACTCCCCTGTATACAGTACGTTAGTGGTAGAGTTTTTACTCTCCTACACTGTATACAGTACATTAGTGGTAGAGTTTTTACTCTCCTGTATATAGTACATTAGTGGTAGAGTTTTTACTCCCCAGTGTACAGTACATTAGTGGTAGAGTTTTTACTCCCCTGTATACAGTACGTTAGTGGTAGAGTTTTTAGTCTCCTTCACTGTATACAGTACATTAGTTGTAGAGTTTTTACTCTCCTTCACTGTATACAGTACATTAGTCGTAGAGTTTTTACTCTCTTTCACTGTATACAGTACATTAGTGGTAGAGTTTTTACTCTCCTGTATACAGTACATTAGTGGTAGAGTTTTTACTCCCCTGTATACAGTACGTTAGTGGTAGAGTTTTTACTCTCCTTCACTGTATACAGTACATTAGTGGTAGAGTTTTTACTCTCCTTCACTGTATACAGTACATTAGTGGTAGAGTTTTTACTCTCTTTCACTGTATACAGTACGATAGTGGTAGAGTTTTTACTCTCCTGTGTAGAGTATGTTAGTGGTAGAGTTTTTACTCCCCTGTATACAGTACATTAGTGGTAGAGTTTTTACTCTCCTGTATACAGTACAGTAGTGGTAGAGTTTTTACTCCCCTGTATACAGTATGTTAGTGGTAGAGTTTTTACTCCCCTGTATACAGTACATTAGTGGTAGAGTTTTTACTCACCTGTATACAGTATGTTAGTGGTAGAGTTTTTACTCCCCTGTATACAGTACGTTAGTGGTAGAGTTTTTACTCTCCTTCACTGTATACAGTACATTAGTGGTAGAGTTTTTACTCTCCTGTATACAGTACATTAGTGGTAGAGTTTTTACTCCCCTGTGTACAGTACATTAATGGTAGAGTTTTTACTCCCCTGTATACAGTACGTTAGTGGTATAGATTTTACTCTCCTTCACTGTATACAGTACGTTAGTGGTAGAGTTTTTACTCCCATGTATACAGTACATTAGTGGTAGAGGTTTTACTCTACTTCACTGTATAGAGTACATTAGTGGTATAGATTTTACTCTCCTTCACTGTATACAGTACGTTAGTGGTAGAGTTTTTACTCCCCTATATACAGTACATTAGTGGTAGAGTTTTTACTCCCCTATATACAGTACATTAGTGGTAGAGTTTTTACTCCCCTGTATACAGTACATTAGTGGTAGAGTTTTTACTCCCCTGTATACAGTACATTAGTGGTAGAGTTTTTACTCCCCTGTATACAGTACGTTAGTGGTAGAGTTTTTACCCCCCTGTATACAGTACGTTAGTGGTAGAGTTTTTACTCCCCTGTATACAGTACGTTAGTGGTAGAGTTTTTACTCTCCTACACTGTATACAGTACATTAGTGGTAGAGTTTTTACTCTCCTGTATACAGTACATTAGTGGTAGAGTTTTTACTCCCCTATATACAGTACATTAGTGGTAGAGTTTTTACTCCCCTGTATACAGTACATTAGTGGTAGAGTTTTTACTCCCCTGTATACAGTACATTAGTGGTAGAGTTTTTACTCCCCTGTATACAGTACGTTAGTGGTAGAGTTTTTACCCCCCTGTATACAGTACGTTAGTGGTAGAGTTTTTACTCCCCTGTATACAGTACGTTAGTGGTAGAGTTTTTACTCAGCTACACTGTATACAGTACATTAGTGGTAGAGTTTTTACTCCCCTATATACAGTACATTAGTGGTAGAGTTTTTACTCCCCTGTATACAGTACATTAGTGGTAGAGTTTTTACCCCCCTGTATACAGTACGTTAGTGGTAGAGTTTTTACTCCCCTGTATACAGTACGTTAGTGGTAGAGTTTTTACTCTCCTACACTGTATACAGTACATTAGTGGTAGAGTTTTTACTCTCCTGTATATAGTACATTAGTGGTAGAGTTTTTACTCCCCAGTGTACAGTACATTAGTGGTAGAGTTTTTACTCCCCTGTATACAGTACGTTAGTGGTAGAGTTTTTAGTCTCCTTCACTGTATACAGTACATTAGTTGTAGAGTTTTTACTCTCCTTCACTGTATACAGTACATTAGTCGTAGAGTTTTTACTCTCTTTCACTGTATACAGTACGTTAGTGGTAGAGTTTTTACTCTCCTGTATACAGTACATTAGTGGTAGAGTTTTTACTCCCCTGTATACAGTACGTTAGTGGTAGAGTTTTTACTCTCCTTCACTGTATACAGTACATTAGTGGTAGAGTTTTTACTCTCCTTCACTGTATACAGTACATTAGTGGTAGAGTTTTTACTCTCTTTCACTGTATACAGTACGATAGTGGTAGAGTTTTTACTCTCCTGTGTACAGTATGTTAGTGGTAGAGTTTTTACTCCCCTGTATACAGTACATTAGTGGTAGAGTTTTTACTCTCCTGTATACAGTACAGTAGTGGTAGAGTTTTTACTCCCCTGTATACAGTATGTTAGTGGTAGAGTTTTTACTCCCCTGTATACAGTACATTAGTGGTAGAGTTTTTACTCCCCTGTATACAGTATGTTAGTGGTAGAGTTTTTACTCCCCTGTATACAGTACGTTAGTGGTAGAGTTTTTACTCTCCTTCACTGTATACAGTACATTAGTGGTATAGTTTTTACTCTCCTGTATACAGTACATTAGTGGTAGAGTTTTTACTCCCCTGTGTACAGTACATTAATGGTAGAGTTTTTACTCCCCTGTATACAGTACGTTAGTGGTAGAGTTTTTACTCTCCTTCACTGTATACAGTACATTAGTGGTAGAGTTTTTACTCTCCTTCACTGTATACAGTACATTAGTGGTAGAGTTTTTACTCTCTTTCACTGTATACAGTACGTTAGTGGTAGAGTTTTTACTCTCCTGTGTACAGTATGTTAGTGGTAGAGTTTTTACTCCCCTGTATACAGTACATTAGTGGTAGAGTTTTTACTCTCCTGTATACAGTACATTAGTGGTAGAGTTTTTACTCCCCTGTATACAGTACATTAGTGGTAGAGTTTTCACTCCCCTTTATACAGTATGTTAGTGGTAGAGTTTTTACTCCCCTGTATACAGTACATTAGTGGTAGAGTTTTTACTCCCCTGTATACAGTATGTTAGTGGTAGAGTTTTTACTCTCCAGTATACAGTACATTAGTGGTAGAGTTTTTACTCCCCTGTATACAGTATGTTAGTGGTAGAGTTTTTACTCCCCTGTATACAGTATGTTAGTGGTAGAGTTTTTACTCTCCAGTATACAGTACATTAGTGGTAGAGTTTTTACTCCCCTGTATACAGTATGTTAGTGGTAGAGTTTTTACTCCCCTGTATACAGTATGTTAGTGGTAGAGTTTTTACTCCCCTGTATACAGTATGTTAGTGGTAGAGTTTTTACTCTCCAGTATACAGTACATTAGTGGTAGAGTTTTTACTCCCCTGTATACAGTATGTTAGTGGTAGAGTTTTTACTCCCCAGTATACAGTACATTAGTGGTAGAGTTTTATGTGTGTGTGGCAAGAAATGAGTGATTTGTATTGCTGGTTGCACTTTTATCTGATTCAATTATTATCTGACCTTATATACACCAGTGCCTAGGACAGGATAGTATCAACATGTTTTGTTTGTTGCACAGACAGATGCATTGCTCAACTGATATTGCTCAGTTATTGCAGCCATTACCGGAATGTGATATTGTCAATTATAGGGCAAAGGTATATTTACACTTTAGACAGACTGCATTCTAGCGGAGTTTGACATTCACCCGACTTGCATTTGTGGGATAATAGCAATAGACAAGTGAAAGTTTCCAGAGTTTGGCATTGGATGAATCACATAACCAAACCAGAGAAGATACACACTTGTTTTTAAATGTAATTGTATCGGGAATCTAAGAACACACATACTGTACCATACAAACAGGATAGCCTTAACTAACATAATTAACATCATTGACTTTTGATGAATGTAAATTGTAAGGTATTGTGAAAGTGAATAAGAGAATATACAACAAAACCACCACCAAACTATTGATGGTGTAAGTGCAACTCTACTGCTTTGCTTTGCTTTACTTTGCCACAGAAAATAGTATTATGCTGGCACTGACTAGAACAGGCCTCAGAATTCCTTGAAATCACATGATCTCAGGGAAAACCAGAATTGCGCTGACCAATGGGAGCATAGAATCTAATTGTGAAATGGAAGAATCCCTCTCCAAAATTCCCCAGCTTTTGACTGCTCAAGCCAAACAGTTATATAAACTGCTCTGTTTGTAACACAATATCTAATCCTGTGAAGTGTCTTTTGAATAATAACATCCCAAAGATCAACTCATCATGAAGATAAGTTCCTTCTTTTTGTTTGAATTGCCCATATTGAGCCAACCAGTTGAAGAGAACAATACAACAGTTGTCTTTTCAATGAAGTTGTGACCATTTTTTGATTATTGATGACTAACAGTAAGTGGCGTCCTCCCTCATTCAGACAGTGACTACAAATGACATGACTTTTGTCTCAGAGGGAAGGGAGGGCCATACGGGATTGAGACATTTTAAGGCTTGTGAAAGAGATAAAGGGGCAGATCTAAATAAACTGAGTGTATAACACTGTGAAGATAGGGTCTGTGGACAGAGCAGGAGCAAAGACAGTGAACAGGAACCATGGGCTCTCCCATCTGTCTTATGGTGTTCTTCCTTTTGGCTGCTGAGTCTGTACATGGACAGGACAGGTAAATGTTTCAACAATATCTTCATGAAACATTTTACTGTGCAATATCAGTGCATTCCTGTGTCCTGTATGTGCACGTATATTTGTATACTTTTACTTATGTTTTAGCATTGCACTGTAAAACATTATTCAGGTGGTTAGTAAATTATACTTGAAACTATATTTATTTTGACATAAAAAAACGTAGTTGTCATCTTTACTTCAATAATATAATTTGTACTTTATTTCACTTGTTTAACCAACCCCTCCCCCCCCAAAAAAAATGAATTCAGCATAAGATAAATGCATAATCTAAACAACTGTTTGTGTGTAAAAACAACTACAAGGAAAATTGTGTTTAACTTACTCAATTTTCATAATATTTCCTTTCAACTTAAGAACTTTAAGTTCTTCCAACAACTTGCCATGTGGCTCTGTTTTTAAAAAAACCTTTACGATACTTTTACACAATGTTGTATGCATGTTTGAAGAATGAAAAGCACATTTCTATATTAGTATTTGTTATGCTATGAGGTGTAATGGATCACGATGAACGGATATCAAAACCGTCGGCCAAATTGACATTCAATGATGTGACCACCCATTCTCACTATTAGTAAGATCATCCGTGCCACTCTTGACAAAGGCAAATACATCAATCTACAACGCTTGCAGCTTTACCTCCAGTTAGTGCTAGTGGAACGAGCACTGCGCTCAACAATTCCTGCTATAGTGGATAAAAATGTCAAGCGATGAAATACATAAAGCCATGTTTAACACTAAGACACAATCAATAAAAGTAACTAATCAGAAAGATTAAGTAGATCGAATGTACAATAACAGTTCTGGATTTGATCAAATTGAGTTGTCTCTTAGCCATTTTTTTTATACTGGACTTAATATATTAGTGTTTGTGAAACACTAAAAGGTAAGTATATTATACGTAAAAATACCTCATGTTGGAAATCCTCAAAAAGCTGATGAAAATAGTTTCCAAATTTTTTTAAAGTGGAACTTGCACAATATTTTCTACAGTGTGTGATGTCAATATTCCAGTTGTATTCTAAACTAATGTTTCAACTCAGATTAATCTGACTACTTCAATGCCTCTGAATGACTTGCACATTTAGCATTTTGATATACTGGTGTTCAACGAACATAAAACATCTTTAGGCTTTTGTCTCTGACCTTAAAGTGATACTTTAGATACTAGACTGTTAAAAGTATTAGGTGGTTGATTCTAAATGCTACCTTCTCTCGGCTATACAGGTTCTTTATCTCAGCTCCCAATGTGTTCCATGTGGGGGTGAAGGAGCGTGTTTATGTCCAGCTGGGTAAAGCCCTCCTGAAAACACGTGTTACCCTCTACCTGGAACATGAGATAACTAGAGAAGTGATATCTCAAAAGAACAGCACTGTGTGTACTGAGGAGGTACCGATCCAAACTGTGGAACTAGAGGTATGACTTAGTGAGACTTGACTAGATAAAATAAGTGACCATACAGACAGACTAAAGAGACGTCTCCATAAACAAGAAATAGGAGAAGCAGTAGTATTGGTTATCATTTAAGTTTCTTCCCCACCTTGCAGGTAGACAGGGACAAACTGCCCACCTTTGTGGATATTCCCTATCTTATGCTGGTGGCTGAGATGGAAGGGAACAAAAACAGAGAGATGGTGAGGGTCTTAGTCTCCCAACACAGAGGCTACATCTTCATTCAGACTGACCAGCCTGTCTACCACCCTACACAGCAAGGTAGATCTGCAGTCTACATGAAATAGAACCCTGCTCTTAAAGGGATACTTTGGGATTTTGGCAATTATCTACTTCCCCTTTAGCCACTTCCCCAGAGTCAGATTAACTAGTGGATACCATTTGTATGTCTTTGTGTCCAGTATGAAGGAAGTTAGAGGTAGTTTTACGAGCCGATGCTAACTAGCGTTAGTGCAATGACTGGAAGTCTAAGGTATCTGCTAGGAAACCCATATACATCTGACTCTGGGGAAGTAGATAAAGGGCCTCACTGCCAAAATCTTGAAGTACAACTTGAATATTGGTAAATGTGGTCAAAATACAGATACTACTTTTGCAAAGGTTTACAATGAAGATAATTTGTAGCGTACAAAAATATTATGATTTTAATTTTTTTTACCAGTGAGATACAGGATATTTACCCTAAACCACTCAATGAGGCCCCATGATGAAAATGTTCAAATCTCTATTTTTGTGAGTACAAACTTTTAATTTCTGACCACATTCCTTTGTTACATTTCATTTCATTAAATGTTGAAATGTTTATCATTGTGGTGATCTTTGATGCCAAAAAGCTTTTTTTGGATGTTTGAAAGAGTTGTGAAATAGTAACTGATTTGTACCTCCTTGGTAGAATGCTGCGGGCAACCGGATAATGAAGACTCTTAAGAGAGCTACGGATGGAATATTCGCAGATGCCCCTTTTAATATCCCTGATGTCTCAGAGTACAATCATATATATTATGTGCTGTAGAAATTCCACAATTATTCAATGTTAGCATCTATTAATTGACTGATATTGTGCAACTACCCTTCGTTGATCAATTGATTTTATGATTTACTTAAACAATACATTATAATAAGACATACTAATATCATACCTGGTGTGTTTTTATTTTAGAATGGGTGTGTGGCGGATTGTGGCTCATTACCAAGGAGATGAAAAGAATGCTGTTACTCGAGAATTTCAAGTCAAGAAATTTGGTTAATATTTTCTCTTTTTATCTGCTTTGCTCAACTTACTCTCTATTTACCATTTGAATATTTCAAGTTTAAAGCCAATCTTTCTGAAAATATTTGACTTAAATTGTATTCATGCTATTATTTATACATTTTCTTACACATGGAGAAAGGATAAGAAATGTTTTGTTGTTCTGAACATGTTTTGTTTTAGTGCTGCCAAGCTTTGAGGTGACCGTCAAACCTGAGCAAAGCTACTTTCTGTTGAACACTGAGCAGTTCACCTTCACGATCTCAGCCAAGTACGATTTAATCCTGATATCAACTGTTTCCCCACATTTACTACATCTAGTTCCTTACAATTTGTCACGATCGTCAGGGAGAGAAGTAGACCAATGCGCAGCGTGATGAACGAACATGTTACTTTATTTAATAAAGCACGAAACAAAACAATAAACGACTCGTAACGTCCTTGGTAACAATGACCAACACGGAACAAAAACCCACAAACACAAAGGAAAAAACAGACAGTTTAAATATGGCTCCCAATCAGAGACAACCAGTCAACAGCTGACACTCGTTGCCTCTGATTGGGAGTCACTCAGGCAAACATAGAAATACAACATATAGACTATCCACACCCTGGCTCAACATATAGAGTCCCAGAGCCAGGGTGTGACACAATTACATGTAACTTTAGTTCTGGCTATGTGGTTCTCATTGAGCCATTTGTCCAAGTGCAAGTCCTCTAAATGTTTATCAAATCTATTAATATGTTATAGAACGTGGCCATATTTATCAGTTGGTCTGACTACACTGTATTTTCCCCAAGGTACTCCTATGGTGAGAGTATACAGGGAGCTTTCCACTGCCGGTTTGGAGTGAAGGAGAAAACACAGGGTCCGGATGGTGAAAAAGAGAAGACTGTCTTCATCAGAGGATTGGAGCTGACTGGATCGGTGAGAGGATAAATGTGGCATATTTCAATCAAAATATCTGTACTCTGCGATCAGAGAAGAAGACTCACAAAGCCTAAAGCTCTGGGCGCTCTAATGGACAACACTATAGTGGCAGCCAACCTATTTCTACATAAAGTTACAACATTTTGTTTTAAGCAATGCTTGAGTTATGGTTTGACTTAAAACCTGTCGCTTGCCTTTTTCTCTCAGATACAAGCTGGAGAAGGGTCAGCGGTTCTCCAGACATCCAAGCTCGTCGAGCAACTCCAATCCAACCTCAACACCACCCTCTCAGACATGGACCAGAGCGAAGCAAAGCTTTACATGGCGGTGTCTGTCACTGACATCATCAGTAAGGCAGCAGTTGTTGTTCTTAGTTAAAGCAAGAATAGACTTTTGAAATGTGATACAGTCATACAGTAGGTACAAGACGACTAAACGATATTGGTACTGTACTGTCTTTGTACCTTCACCAGGTGGTGAGCTGCAGGAAGCAGAGGTGTCTCTTCCTGTTGTTTCCAAGCGTTACACTGTAGACCTGTCCCGTACCCGCTCTCACTACATCCCTGGAGTCCCTTTCAGTGTTGTGGTAAGCCTCAATTTGGATGACAGAGATACGTTAGATAGAACAATGTCTATCTGTGAAATGATGTACTGTATATTTGTTTGTCCGGTAATCTGTTAGGTGGTGGTACGTCTCCCAAATGGTTCCCCAGCTGTTGGAGAGCCAGTGAAAATGCATCTGAAAAATCTCCAGGATGGCGCCCAAACTATCAAGACTAACGAGGAGGGCGCAGTGTGGCACGATTTTAACCTTCCCAATTATAATCATGACATTACTGTGGAGGTAAGTATAACAAAATAGTCCAAATAAAACATACATTAATCTGAAGCTTCTAGCAGTAGCTTCAAGCAATACAGTATAGTCTGTAAACAAAACACTGAAGAAATCATATGAAACTAAAGGCTTCGGATCAGATTGTTTCTTCTTTCATCCCATGTTTCCCGTCAGGTGACCGTAGATGGCCAGAAAGAAACCAAAGACGTCAAATGTGCCTCGTCTCCTGGCAACACCTATCTGAGCGTGAGCGTGAGCCAAGAGATTCTGACGGCGGGTCAATCCCTTTCTGTGACATTCAAAGTCTTGAATGGGTCTCCAGAGGATGGGTTTATTTACTATATGGTGAGAGATATCACAAGGAACAGGACATGGTGGAAAAGTTATATAACTGAGAGGAGAAACAATCACTTTTCTGTTTTTGTAATCCTCAGGTTTTCAGCCGTGGAGTGCTAAGAAAACAGGGTTCTGTCAAATCAGGGGATTTAACAAAGATTCTGCTTCCAATCACGCCTGATATGACACCCTCCTTCCGTCTGATTGGCTACAACTATGATCAGAATGGTGACATCATTGCTGACTCTGTGTGGGTAGACGTCAAGGACATTTGTGAGGGGACGGTCGAGGTGAGTGAACAGTGACTGGAGTAGATCAGCGTCAGCGTTGACAGAGAGAGTTCTTGATGGTCAGACACTAATATGGCCAGAGAACACGAAGAAAGAGAAATAAAGTGTTGCCGACTGTTAATAAGTTACAATTCAGTTCAGAGTAATTTACTAATTATATATATTTGATGTTATCATCCTAATTTATTCCTATGTATATTTATATGATCTAGGTAAAGTCAAAATATGAATATCAACCAGGAAAAACGGCAAAGCTGGAGATAAACTTAAATGGTCAGAAGGCCAATGTTGCCTTGCTGGCTGTGGACAAGGCTATCTATGCTCTCAACGCCCACAACAAACTCACCCCCAAACAGGCAAGCTACTCATTATTTTTTATTTTTTTATTTTTTTAGGGGATAGATCAGCTTTAATATTGCAGATAGATTGTAGCTTCCATCAATGTAATTGTCTGCATCATTTCCAATCCCCCATATATTTTTTTGTAAATATACAGGACCAGTAAAAAGTTTGGACAAACCTACTCATTCCAGGGTTTTTCTTTATTTTTACAATTTTTTACATTGTACAATAATAGTGAAGACATCAAAACGATTAAATAACACATATGGAATCATGTAGTAACCAAAAAAGTGTTAAACATATCAAAATATATTTTATATTTTAGATTCTTAGCCACCCTTTGCCTTGATGGCTAGTTGAAGAATCTAAAATATAAAATATATTTTGATTAACACTGTTTTGGTTACTTCATGATTCCATATGTGTTATTTCCTAGTTTTGATGTCTTCACTATTATTGTACAATGTAGAAAATAGTACAAATAAAGAAAAACCATTGAATGAGTAGGTGTGTCCAAACTTTTGACTGGTACTGTATATATATACAGTGAGGGAATAAAAGTATTTGATCCCCTGCTGATTTTGTACGTTTGCCCACTGACAAAGAAATGATCAGTCTATAATTTTAATGGTAGGTTTATTTGAACAGTGAGAGACAGAAAACAACACAAAAATCCAGAAAAACGCATGTCAAAAATGTTATAAATTTCTTTGCATTTTAATGAGGGAAATAAGTATTTGACCCCTCTGCAAAACATTACTTAGTACTTGGTGGCAAAACCCTTGTTGGCAATCACAGAGGTCAGACGTTTCTTGTAGTTGGCCACCAGGTTTGCACACATCTCAGGAGGGATTTTGTCCCACTCCTCTTTGCAGATCTTCTCCAAGTCATTAAGGTTTCGAGGCTGACGTTTGGCAACTCGAACCTTCAGCTCCCTCCACAGATTTTCTATGGGATTAAGGTCTGGAGACTGGCTAGGCCACTCCAGGACCTTAATGTGCTTCTTCTTGAGCCACTCCTTTGTTGCCTTGGCCGTGTGTTTTGGGTCATTGTCATGCTGGAATACCCATCCACAACCCATTTTCAATGCCCTGGCTGAGGGAAGGAGGTTCTCACCCAAGATTTGATGGTACATGGCCCTGTCCATCATCCCTTTGATGCGGTGAAGTTGTCCTGTCCCCTTAGCAGAAAAACACCCCCAAAGCATAATGTTTCCACCTCCATGTTTGACGGTGGGGATGGTGTTCTTGGGGTCATAGGCAGCATTCCTCCTCCTCCAAACACGGCGAGTTGAGTTGATGCCAAAGAGCTTGATTTTGGTCTCATCTGACCACAACACTTTCACCCAGTTCTCCTCTGAATCATTCAGATGTTCATTGGCAAACTTCAGACGGGCATGTATATGTGCTTTCTTGAGCAGGGGGACCTTGCGGGCGCTGCAGGATTTCAGTCCTTCACGGCGTAGTGTGTTACCAATTGTTTTCTTGGTGACTATGGTCCCAGCTGCCTTGAGATCATTGACAAGATCCTCCCGTGTAGTTCTGGGCTGATTCCTCACCGTTCTCATGATCATTGCAACTCCACGAGGTGAGATCTTGCATGGAGCCCCAGGCCGAGGGAGATTGACAGTTATTTTGTGTTTCTTCCATTTGCGAATAATCGCACCAACTGTTGTCACGTTCTCACCAAGCTGCTTGGCGATGGTCTTGTAGCCCATTCCAGCCTTGTGTAGGTCTACAATCTTGTCCCTGACATCCTTGGAGAGCTCTTTGGTCTTGGCCATGGTGGAGAGTTGATTGATTGATTGCTTCTGTGGACAGGTGTCTTTTATACAGGTAACAAGCTGAGATTAGGAGCACTCCCTTTAAGAGTGTGCTCCTAATGGAAGCCAGAAATCTTTCTGGTTGAGGGGGTCAAATACTTATTTCCCTCATTAAAATGCAAATCAATTGATAACATTTTTGACATGCGTTTTTCTGGATTTTTTGTTGTTATTCCGTCTCTCACTGTTCAAATAAACCTACCATTAAAATTATAGACTGATCATTTATTTGTCAGTGGGCAAACGTACAAAATCAGCAGGGGATCAAATACTTTTTTTCCCTCACTGTACAAGCTCCTATTTACTGAAGAATAATAATATATACTGTCTCCTCCACATTATTTCCTCTAAAACTCACTCCTTTTAATTTACAGGTATAAATATATTGTATGAAATAAAGACCAAACGGCTCTTTTTGACTAATAGTGTGAAAATGTGTGTGCCGTTCACAGGTATTCTCGTCGATGCAGTCCTATGACCTTGGTTGCTCATACGGTGGAGGCTCAGATACAGCCTCTGTGTTCAACGACGCTGGCCTGTCATTCATATCCAACTCAGGAGTGAAGTCTAAGATGAGGATTGGTATGACGAGCATTGTGTGATTAAACATACATCTGTCTAGTGTCTACACTACTTTATCTCTGGTCCACAGTTTTTGAATGATGTTCTCTGGTATAGGGTTAAAATTCCTTTAGGGGGTAGACAACTTAACATTTCACAGACTTGGATCCACTCAACTAGACATGACATTGGCAGGGACTTAACGGCCAACATTCAACATCAAGAAAAAAGACGAATAAAAGGAGAAAAAAAAACACTCAGACGTACACACATTTCAACAAAACATTAATGACGTCATACTTGCTCAAAACCTACATGTTCCCCCAATGTGCTGATATTACATGTTGATGTTTTGATATGATCGTCTTCACCCTACTGTACGTCTGTTTGTCTTAGGATTGAACTGTGAGTCAGGCTTCAGACGACAGAGGCGTTCCCTGGACCTCCAGCAGCAGATGATGTCCATAAGTATTACAACGTTACTTTTCTCTAATTGTCTCTAGCTGCTGGCTGAGGCGGTGGGAGAGGGTGTTTGTCAGTCCTGGCAGGTACGAACTAAAACCTTTTGTCGCCCCCTCACCATCTCTCACTCCCAGAATCGAGTTACTCAGACGCCAAGCTGCAGGAGTGTTGTTCTCATGGCTTCACCCTGATCCCCATGCTGAAGACGTGTCAGCAGCGAGCCGAGAGAGTGGCACGAGCCAATAAGGACCCAGTCTGTGTCAAGGCCTTCCTGGACTGCTGCATAGAGGGAGAGAAACTGAGAGAGAAGAAGAGACGAGACGACGCCCAGACAGGACATGGCAGGAGTGAGGATGACTTGATTGTTGGGGATATTACCGTTATAACATGTATAACATTGTAACAAAATGATAAGAACCACTATTCTTTAGACAGACATGGGAATATTGAAACAAAATATCTGACTTGTTCTAATTTAATTCAATGAGAAAACGATCTTAAAAGGTTGTATTATGGTGACTCCCTTGGTCTGCACTCTCTCCTCTCAGCTGCGAGTGCCACAGACGTCGAAGACTTCTTTGACACAACCAATCAGCAAATACGCAGAAGCTTCCCCCCAAGCTTTGTGTTCGCAGTGGTCAATATAAAAGACAAAGGAATGTGAGGACATTCAGACATTTAGACACACAGTATATTGGCGCCTTGTGTCTGAAACACTGTTGTAATTTGTCTCTCTCTCTCTGTCTCCCTTAGTCATATTGTGGCTCTGCCTGATTCCATCACCACCTGGGAGATACAGGCTGTCAGCTTGTCTGCTTCTCATGGTAACATCCTCCTCCTCGATTGGTTCTTATTCCTGTACCTAGATAGTAAGGAACCTGTGGTGACATTCTGGAGAGTAATGCATATGTCTGTGTATGACCTTCCTGCAGGCATTTGTGTGGCAGAACCACATGAGTTCCGTGTGTTTAAGGAGGTTTTTGTCTCTCTGAGGCTGCCGTACTCGGTCAAAAGATTTGAGCAAATGTCTATTGTTCCTATTGTCTACAACTACGGGAACCAGAATGCACAGGTAGAGTAAATAACTTTCTAAAGTACTGCAGTTTTATACTTCAGAAGCATATACAGAAACACCAAATGCCATACAGCTGATGGACCACCTTCCTCCCTGTCAGATTGCACTCCACATGGAGCGAAATGACAAGCTCTGTTCGCCTGGATCCAGTTCCATCAAAACCTATGTCAACATCACTGTGGATGCCCACTCCTCCAAAGCCGTCACTTTCTCTGCAGTACCCATGGAAACCGGCCCTATACCCATCATAATACGCCTTTATGACATAGAGAATGAGGATGGCACGGATGCTATTGAAAAGATTCTGAATGTTAGAGTAAGTATACGAAAAAAAGAGAGTGAAAAAGTACTACTACAAAAATATCTGAGGATCCATTACTGTAAAGGTACTGCATGTATGTAATATAATAGTTTCTCATATTTTAGACGGAGGGAATAGAGAAGAGAGTGGAGGAAACTCATTTAGTTGACCTGAGTGGCAATATTGGTGAGCTTGCTAACATAATATCTATGATAACTACATTTTGTTCACGGAATAGTTTATGACATAAAAGCACCAACCAGCTTCTCTCGTTCTCTGTTGTCAGGGAAGAGTAGCAAATCTTTCATGATTGACGGAAAGTTACCAGACAACACAGTTCCTGGCTCCAACACCAATATCTTCGTCAAGATGGAAGGTCTGACTCATTTGCCCTCCAGTCATTTCTCTTCACAAAAATATTGTCAGTTTAATATCCATTTTCATCCATTCCCCAGGGGAGGTGTTTGGCCAGTCCACTGCCAGGACCCTGCTCTCTCCCGATGGGGTTAAAGGCTTGCTCAAAGCTCCTCATGGATGTGCAGAGCAGACTATGAAACGTATGGCTCCCACAGCCCTGGCCCTCCGCTACCTGGACCTGAGCCAGCGTTGGTATGAGCTGACCCCTGGCATCAGAGATACGGCCCTCCAGTTCACAGAGCAAGGTGTGAGAGAACTATAATGAAGATGCTTTATTTTAATTTATAGTAAGAAACACAAAATCCAATATTCTTTCTTCTTTGGAGGGAGGGAGGGAGGGGGGGTCTTCTTTTTTCTTGGTGTAGGGGGGGGCGGGGGGGAGGGAGGGAGGGAGGGAGGTCGCGAGCCGGGAGAGAGTAGGAGAGAGAGAGAGGAGAGAGCTGCGTAGCTCTCTCGCTCTCTCTGAGAACTCTCTCTCGCTCTCTCGAGCATCGAACTCACTACTCTTTCTCTCACGTTCGTTGTCTCTCCTCTCTATCTGCTCGAGATCTCTCTCCTCTCTCTCTATCTCTCTCTATCTCTCTTCTCTCTATCTCTCTCTCCTTACTTTATTTATCTCTCTTCTCTCCTCTCTCTCTCTCTCTCTTTATTTATTTCTCTCTCTATCTCTCTGTCAGGCTATATGAGAATTTTGACGTTTAAAAAGGGTGATGGATCGTATGGAGCTTGGACGAGCCATCCAACCAGTTACTGGTCAGTACATCTCTCTTTACGTTGCTTGTTTTTGTTGTACTGTAGTTTTCTGGCTGTCTGGAACAAAAGTCTGTACACACTGCAACTCTCCAGGACTGGAGCTGGCCGATCCTATCATAGTGTTTGATACCCTTCCTCTCTAGGCTGACGGGCCTTGTTGTGAAAGTGATGTCTCTGGTGGCAGAACTTCAGAATTCAGGCAGAGGAGAGAAGGGGAGACAGGCACAGGGTGTGTCTGAGGAGGAAATCAGTCATTCAGTCAGATACCTCCTGGTTAAACAGAAGGAGGATGGATCATTCTCGGACCCTAACCCAGTAATACACAGGGAAATGCAGGTAAAGGATTATTCAAAACACTTGCCATACTACGTCAATTGCACACAAGGTCCAACCGAAATTTGACTTCCGCTTTTAACCCAACCCCTCCGAAAGACACACATACATAGACAGGTTTTGGAGAGGTGTGGCGGGGCTTCCACACTGGGCGCCTGGGGAGCTGTTGTTGTGTGGGTGTTAAGTGCCTTGCTCAAAAGCACAATAGCAGGCAATGGCATCTAGGATTTGATACCAGCAACCCTCCGGTTGCCAGCTCACTTCCTGATAGATTTTTCCAGTCAGACACAGGACTTGAACTGGCAACCCTACTGTATTTCAACAGTGGTGTTTTCTCTTTGTCTCTAGGGAGGCATTGGAGGGATAGAGGGAGATGTGTCCATGACTGCTTTCATAACTGTGGCTCTAAATCGCTCCCTCCCTTTCCTGACAGAAAACAAGGACCAGAACAATACGGTAAGATAGGTGGACATATTTCCTTACTAATTCAGAAGTGTTTAGTATAGTGTACTATTTTATAGTGTTACCAATTAACCGATTTCAACCTAATCATCCGTCTATATCATCCGTCTATATCATCCGTCTCCATCCTGGAGAAAAAACAACAACATTTGATACAATCATCAAATACTTCTCTTTTTAACCAGAATGGCTAGCTGCTTTGTGTTTTTGTGTGTGTGTAGAAAGACAGCATCGTCAAAGCCACAAACTACCTGCTCTCACGTGTCGAGGGGCTACAGAGGCCCTACGCTGTGGCCATAACAGCCTACTGCCTGTCAGTCTGTCTGTCTGACCGGACAAAGGCTGAGCCTGCCTGGGAAAAACTCAAAGGACTAGCAACTGAAGGTATATATCCTAGTCCTATTACACCACTATTGTAGGTCAAAATGGTGTGGGCTGATGGGGGATTGCTACTAACATTGATATTATTTGACTCCTCTTGACAGGGAAAGATCATTGCCATGGGTGGTATGCTAACGCTGGAATGGTGAATGAGGAAAATAAACGTTATGTACCGACAACAGAGGCCATAACAGTAGAGACTACAGCCTACGCCCTGTTAACTGCAGTGGCTCATAAGGACACAATGTGGGCAGACTCTGCAGCCTGCTGGCTGACTTCACAGGAGAACTATGGAGGAGGCTTCAAGTCCACACAGGTGAGGTGAGATACAGTGCATTCGGAAAGTATTCCGATCCCTTGACTTTTTCCACATTTAGTTACATTACAGCCTTATTCTAAAGTGGATCTACACTTGGGCCTCCAGAGTGGCGCAGTGGTCTAAGGCACTGTATCGCAGTGCAAGCTGCGTTACTACAAGTCCTGGTTCGATACCGGGCTGTGTCGCAGTCGGCCACGACCGGGAGAACCATGAGGCGACGCACAATTGGCCAAGTGTCGTCCGGGTTAGGGGAGGGTTTGGCCGGCCGGGATGTCCTTGTCCCATCGCGCTGTAGCGACTCCTGTGGCGAGCCGGGCACATGCACGCTGACACGGTCGCCAGGTGTACAGTGTTTCCTCCGACACATTGGTGCGGCTGGCTTCAGGGTTAAGCGTGCATTGTGTCAAGAAGCAGTGCTGATTGGCGTGGTTGTGTTTTGGAGGACGCACAGCTCTCGACCTTCGCCTCTCCCGAGTCCAAACAGGAGTTGCAGCGATGGGACAAGACTGTAACTACCAATTGAGGAGTAAATAAAAAATAATACATCTACACTCAACACACCATAATTACAAAACAAAAACAGGTATTTTGAAATGTTTGCAAATGTATAAAAAAATTATATATGTATCACATTTACATAAGTATTCAGACCCTTTACTCAGTACTTTGGTGAAGGACCTTTGGCAGCGATTACAGCCTTGAGTCTTTTTGGGTATGACGCTACAAGCTTGGCACACCTGTATTTGGGGAGTTTCTCCCATTCTTCTCTGCAGATCCTCTCTAGCTCTGTCATGTTGGACGAGGAGCGTCACTGCACAGCTATTTTCAGGTCTCTCCAGAGATGTTCGATCGGGTTCAAGTCCGGGCTCTGGCTTGGCCACTCAAGGACATTCAGAGACTTGTCCCGAAGCCACTCCTGTGTTGTCTTTGGCTGTGTGCTTAGGGTCATTGTCCTGCTGGATGGTGAACCTTCGCCCCAGTCTGAGGTCCTGAGCGCTCTGGAATAGGTTTTCATCAAGGAACTCTCTGTACTTTGCTCCGTTCATCTTTCCCTCGATTCTGACTAGTTTCCCAGTCCCTGCCGCTGAAAAACATCCCCACAGCATGATGCTGCCACCACCAAGCTTCACCATAGGGATGGTGCCAGGTTTCCTCCAGATGGGATGCTTGGCATTCAGGCCAAAGGGTTCAATCTTGGTTTCATCAGACCAGAGAATCTTGTTTCTCATGGTATGAGAGTCCTTTAGGTGCCTTTTGGCAAACTCCAAGTGGGCTGTCATGTGCCTTTTATTGAGGAGTGGCTTCCGTCTGGCCACTCTACCCTAAAGGCCTGATTGGTGGAGTGCTGCAGAGATGGTTGTCTTGTAAGGTTCTCCCATCTCCACAGAGGAACTGCGGAGCTCTCTCAGAGTGACCTCCCTGACCAAGGCCATTCTCCTCCGATTACTCAGTTTGGCCAGATGATCAGCTCTAGGAAGAGTCTTGGTGGTTCCAAACTTCTTCCATTTAAGAATGATGGAGGACACTGTGTTCTTGGGGACCTTCAATGCTGCAGAAATGTTTTGGTACCCTCCCTAGATCTGTGCCTCGACGCAATCCTGTCTCGGAGCTCTACGGACAATTCCTTCCACCTCACGGCTTGGTTTTTGCTCTGACATGCACTGTCAACTGTGGGACCTTATATAGAGAGGTGTGCCCCTTTCCAAATCATGTCCAATCAATTGAATTACCTCTGGTGGACTCCAATCAAGTTGTAGAAACATCTCAAGGATCATCAATGGAAACAGGATGTACCTGAGCTCTATTTCGAGTCTCATAGCAAAGGGTCTAAATATTTATGTAAGTAAGGTATTTCTGTTTCTTATTTTTAATAAATGTGCAAAAATGTATAAAAACCTGTTTTCGCTTTGTCATTATGCGGTATTGTGTGTAGATTGCTGAGGATTTTATTTTATTTAATCCATTTTAGAATAAGGCTGTAACGTAACAAAATGTTGAAGAGTCAAGGGGTCTGAATACTTTCCGAATGCACTGTACTGATGGAGAGCTGAACAATGCCTAAACATGATGTGGTTGCTTCATTGCCTCCTAGTGGTAATAGTTTCCTTGTTCATAGTTAGAATGTTTTGCTAGTTTTCCGCCTTCATATTCAGTCAAATAATACTGATACAGTGACCCAGGGGTTATAGTCCCTCTCATTGAGAGTCGATGGAACATTTACGTTCTACACCATTTGGTAGAAATAACATGTTAAATGTCTACCTTTAATTTGTATCCATTCTATGCATTCATCATAATGTCTTTAGGATACTATAGTAGCTTTGGAGGCTCTCTCTGAGTATGCACTGAACAGGCCCCAACCGCCCATCACAGAAGTGAAGGTACAGTTCACTAGTCCAGGGAAGAGCGACGTTCAGAAGCTGTCATTGGACAACAAGGGGGAGAAAGTAGAAACAGAGCTGAAGGTATACCACTCCAACAGTCACACACACACACACATGCACACACACACACACACACACACACACACACACACACACACGTATACACACACGTATGCACACACACTCACACATACACACGCATGCACACACATTCACACACACACACACACACACACACACGCATGCACACACACACGCATGCACACACACTCACACACACACACACGCATGCACACACACTCACACACACACGCATGCACACACACTCACACACACACACACATACTCACAGACACACGTAACTCTCTCTCTCTGTCTCTACTCCCCCAGAAACTGATTGGTAATGCTATCATTAACGTAGCGCTAACGGGACAGGGAAAAGCCAAGATGAAGGTGGGAGTCTTTATCATCAAAACAGATTTATTGATGTTCATTCAAACTGGTAACATATTGATCTGTCTGGCAGGTTACGAAGGCTTACCATCTACTGGACACCTCAGACGACTGTAACCTTCTGTCAATCACAGTCAAAGTAGAGGGGAAAGTAGAGTACACTGGTGAGCGTGCAACACTGATCCAACACTCCCTTTACTCCAGGTTAGGATGTGTGTGACTGAGTTATGATAACACTTTGTTTCATCAGCCCAGATTGTTGAAGACTACAACGACTACGGAGACGGAGACGGAGAGAAAAGGGAGGAAGAGGACGTCCCCCGATCAGCGATTGAGTGGTTCGATGCTCGCAGCAGACGCAGGAGAGATACTCAGGAAAGCCGGAATTCCCAAAATGCTGTTGAATACGAAGTCTGTGTCAGGTCAGTTAAACAGAGACTGAACTGATTCTGTCATGAATATATAAATCACAACAGATTTGTGACTGGGATGAATATCTTCTGACGGCATAGGAGATAGGGCACTGCTTTTTCAGTAATCTAACTAACTTGTATTCTTTAGTCATAGTCTGAGCAGGAACCTCACAGGAATGGCCATAGCTGACATCACACTGCTCAGTGGCTTTGAAGCAGACACTGATGACCTGGACAAGGTAAATCATCATTGACATCATCATCGGTATCAGCATCAAATCCTTCATCATCCCCAAATTGAAATGATCAATCAAATAGGAATAGGAATTATAGATATTAACATTGGATGGGCCTTTCTGGCTTGGACAAAGCTTACTTACTTATTTAATTTAATTTGTATATTCAATATTTAGTCCCTTTCTCCCTTCCCCCTTGTCATCCCTTGATCATTCCTTCCTCTCTCCCTCTGTCTCTAATTGTTTTCTCTCCACAGCTAAAGAACCCGGATGAACAGTACATCTCTCACTATGAGGTCTCACATGGCAAAGTGCTGTTGTACTTCAATGAGGTGAGACTCAAACAGACATAAATACACAAGCTACTCAGTAGAACAGTGTGAAAGCTAAAAGGGCTTTTTTCTCTCTCTGTCCAGTTGGAGGAAAGGGAGTGTGTAACATTCAGGGCTGTGCAGACAGTACTGGTAGGTTTACTGCAGCCTGCTCCAGCCACATTCTATGACTACTATGAACCAGGTATGCAAGGCTTTCTTTTCATATTTCTTCTGTACTTTTTTTTTTCTTGATTGATCTTTTGTCTCTGTCAAATAGTCTTCTGATTATTTTAGCCATCACTAAACAATCAAGCATAATTTGACTACTCTAAATAGGAGAGCGCGAGCCGAGAAGAGAGAGAAAAAAAGAAGAGAGAGAAAGGGAGAGCAAGAGAAAACAGAGAGAGAGAGAAAGAGAGAGAGAGGAAGGGAGAGAGAGAGAAGAGAGAGGAGAGAGAGCGAGAGAGAGGGAGAGAGAGAAGAGCAAAGAAGAAAAAGAGAGAGAGAGAGAGAGAGAAAGAGAGACAAAAAAAAAGAGAGCGAGAGAGGAGAGAAAAGAAAAAAAGGAAGAAGAGATAAAAAGAGAGAGGGAGAGAAAAGCGAGAGATAAAAGAGAGATCTAGAAGACAGAGAATCGAGATAGCTAGAAGAGAACATGCAGACTAGAATGCGGGGAAACGAAGAAAAATAAGCGATAAGATGAGCTCTCTAGTGGAGAGAAGTACCTGATCTCAGATATCTAGAATCACGCTCGCCTGATCTCTCGCTCTCTCTCTCGCTCTCTCTCCTCTCTCCCCCTCTCTCTCTCTCCCTCTCTCCCCCTCTCTTTCTCCTGTCGCTCTCACTCTCCTTTCTCTCTCTCTCTCTCTCTCGCTCTCGCTCTCACACACACACACAATCACAGACAGAAAGTGTACTACTTTCTATGCTGCACCAAACAGAAGCAAGATGGTTTCAACCCTGTGTGCAGGGGATGTGTGCCAGTGTTCAGAGAGTAAGTTGTTATTTCCATCACTATCACATCACCAACACATTCTCTCAGTTATCCTATTGAAGTATTCTCTTATAGGCGGGATTTGCACTTTTGGGACTATTCCATTGGTTCTGGATTCATTGGTTATGACACTAAAGAAACTCCCATTGTTTCTCTAGGGCCCTGCCACAAAGAGAAGGAGACTTTTGGACCACTGAAGCTAGAGAAGAAAGATCGTTTTGAACATGCTTGCTATTCCCCCACTGTGGATTACGGTCAGTAGACAATTTAGCTATGAGTGTGACACAGAAGTCAATAATTTAACATTTACAGTATGGGACAAATAAGGTGAAGCTAGTAATTCGTTTTAAATCTGGTTGCTTTAGGTTTCATTGTCCAAGTCATCAGTATATCTGTGAAGAGTAACTTTGAACTCTACACCACTAATGTGACTCAAGTCCTTCGAGCCAGTAAGTAATAATACCGTTATTACATCCTGACCTGAGATCTGTGTCTGTAACTTGAATTGTCATGAAGACGTAACACCATAGACAGTACATTTACTTCTTTCTACGGTCTCTGGTAACTCTGTGTATTACAGAAGTGATCCTGACGTAACACCATAGACAGTACATTTACTTCTTTCTACGTTCATGGTAACTTTGGTAACTCTGTGCCTCTTTCTGCCAGCTGGAGATGTGAAGCTGGAGGAGAGCACAGTGCGAGTGTTCGCCAAGAGGCTCCAGTGTAAAGGACAGCTAGAGACAGGGAAGAAATACCTCATCATGGGTAAAGATGGCGCCACCACCGACTCTAATGGCCAGTAAGTTCTGTATATGATGTCATAAGACAACTGAAGATGTGTTTCCCACTAAGGTCCTACTCTGTGAAAATTGGACCTCCCTGGTAATTGTCTCACCATTTCTCTGTTTGTCTTTTAGGATGCAATACCTTTTGGAATCAAATACCTGGATTGAACAAGTGCCTGATGGGAAAAAGTGCAAAGGATCTAACAACAGGCCTACTTGCAAAAAATTTGATGACTTTGTATCTGAGTACATGTTGAATGGCTGCACCCAGTGATTGGGTCACTGACATGCTAACATACATACTCAACACATCATCTACAAAATGAAAACATGTAATCGAGTCATATAATTCAGTACTTGTAACATCCACTTTCAATAATTCTCAAGATCAATAAAATGGCATTTCAACCACAACATGTAATTCAGTCTTTGACCATCTTGACCAACACTGAAAATATGAATCAAATGAGAAGCATAAAACATCCTGAATTTTTACAGTTTTATTTAATCATTTTGTGTAAGCACATGGCAATAAATACAAGGAACCTACACTGACTATACAAAACATTAAGAACACCTGCTCTTTCTATGACAGACTGACCAGGTGAATCCAGATGAAAGCTATGATCCCTTATTGATGTCACTTGTTAAATCCACTTAAATCAGTGTAGATGAAGGGGAGGAGACAGGTTAAAGAAGGATTTTTAAGCCTGAGGGCAAAAGGGGTGCCACTAAATACTAGGAAGATGTTCTTAATGTTTTGTACACTAAGTGTACATTTAAAGGGCAAATCAGCAGTTGCTACATATAACTTATAAATTGCCTTATGAGCTCAGTTCAACTGTAGTACCCCATCAGAACCCAAAATATAAGCTTGTTTTACTCTGATGTTTGTAAACAATATACATGTAAACATTGTATAGTCTAAAAACATTGTTAAAACTATCATGTTGATATCATGGATGGTCAGTCCTTGCATCCATAGCTCTGTCTATGAATTTGAGATTGGTTACATTTCTCCAGCGCCATCACCCTGCTTTTTACCGAAACAGTGGTGGGGAGGTCGCTTTGTTCATGTTTCAACTGCTGATAGCTGCTTTAAAAGGGAAGTATTTCTAGAGATCAAATGCATTAACAACCTAGATGTCTAGAATCTAGAAATTGGCTTTAGACCATGTCACCTACTGTGAAAGGTCTATATACAACTTGCAAGCAATTATAACTAATCTTTAATGGACACAGACATTGACAAATCACTGTTTAAACATAAACAATCTCTATCTTGCCTCACAAATTCCCTCCAACAGGTACAGATGAATTCCAAGTACATTTTCATTAGAGACCTGATATCCAATACCCTTATCCCATCCCCTTCTCTAGCTCTATCAGTCTCCCTGGGTGTAAGTGAGAGTCAGGAGTGTGATGTCACAGACACAACTCCTGGATTAGTATTAGACAGACACAATAATTGCGTTTGGACAATCAGCTCCAGAGTCCCCAATTCCAGCTGGGTAGAAGGACTATGGTAGAGAGGTCTGTGTGAACCACTTCCATCTTAAGAAAAACTGCTTTCAAAACCAACATTCACAGACAGTGTAGCAATGTTCCATTATGAAAGTACACATCTTTCAAATCAAAAACCATGGGCCTGGCTAAAGCTGCCTTTTCTGCAATACTAGAGAACAGCATTATTGCTACAAGTTCTCTATAAGAGTGTTGTAACTTACTGTAGTTCAATAATCGTATATCTTAGTCTGTCCATGAAAATATTTCCGTAAAAGAAACATATCTTATTTAAAGCAGATACCCCATAAGCCCTTTTACATTTGAAACAGTGTTATTCAATTATAATTATTACAGTAATGGCTGTGGTATAATGACACCATGTGTATTCTTCAGCATTATTCTTGGTTTTGTAGACGTCTCATTAAAGATGGAAGCTAATATCAGTAGCATGACACACACTAGACACTGAGTGTACAAAACATTAGGATCACCTTCCTAATATTGAGTGGCACCACTTTTGCCCTCAGGACAGCCTCAATTCGTCGGTGCATGGACTCTACAAGGTTTCGAAAGCATTCCACAGGGATGCTGGCCCATGTTGACTCCAATGCTTCCCACATTCGTGTCAAGTTGGCTGGATGTCCTTTGGGTGGTGGACCATTCTTGATACACACAGGAAACTTTTCAGTGTGAAAAACCAAGCAGCATTGCAGTTCTTGACACAAACCGGTGCGCCTGACACCTACTACCATACCCTGTTCAAAGGCACTTACCCTCTGAATGGCACACATACACAATCCATGTCTCAATTGTCTCAATGCTTAAAAATCCTTCTTTAACCTGTCTCCTCCCCTTAATCTACACTAATGGAAGTGGATTTAACAAGTGACATCAGTAAGGGATCATAACTTTCACCTGGATTCACCTGGTCAGTCTATGTCATGGAAAGAGCAGGTGTTCCTAATGTTTTGTCCACACAGTGTGTCATCTATATATAAATTGGCCAGTTCCTCTGTGGACTTTCTTACCAGTAATCCAACTGCATCTTTATGTCTTTGGGTAGGAGAGTACATTCAAGCTCTCTCTCCTCCAGTAAACTTAAACTCAATTTCACAACTGAATTTATACTAGACACTATGGGCCGGTATCCCAGAGACAGAATAATTAAGACTAGTCCTGAACTAAAAAACATTATCAATGGAGATTTGACAGGACTAGGATTAGCCTTAATATATGTTTTGGAAAGCCGCTGAATGCTTAATTATGTAAAGCTGCAAATGTTAGTTGATATAAATCCTTACATTTTAATCATAGACACCTTCAAATTTTACATAAATTATTCCATATTCACCATAACAACAAAGAAAATCGGTAGCCATTGTTATAATTACAGAATCTTAATGCACCATTCATATTGATAACTACTCCATTTCCACCAAGATAACCTCTTACCTATACACCCAAAACTCCTTTACTGTCAAAGTTTCCTCCAAATGTATTCCCATTCCAAGTTCCAGTCCCCTCATTCCGCACTCCTCTGTCCATCCTCAACTGTTGGTCTTTCACATTTCCATGTCCCCCTCTCCCTCTATCCCTCTATCCCTCTATCCATCTCATTTCATGCAGCACTGGGGTTACCTAAGAGATTGGGCCTCAATAGAGAACATTTATTTTACTACAATTAACTGAGGGGGAAGAGAGAAAGAAAGAGAGAGAGAGCGAGAGAGAGAGAGAGAGGAGAGAGAGAGAGAGAGAGAGAGAGAGAGAGAGAGAGGAGAGAGAGAGAGAGAGAGAGAGAGGAGAGAGAGAGAGAGAGAGAGGAGAGAGAGAGAGAGAGAGAGAGAGAGAGAGAGAGAGAGAGAGAGGTGGAGAGATGCAAAGTTAAAAGCCAATAACTCCCAACTTGGATGACACAGTACAACTTCAGTTGTACAAACTTCAATCTTCATAAAATATTGTTTGCTGGTGATCTGGTAATCATAATATGTTGAAATAAAGATGTATTTCAATGAATACTTTGTTGATGCTAATGCATTGAATTTCAGTTTGTTAACAAAATACTGTGTAGGGCAGGCCTACATGCATTTGGTGTACAAAAAGTATGACACTATGTTTTAAATTTGCCATAGTTTGACAGAACTGCAGAGAGCTTCTGGGTCTATGGTAAGGTATGCTATCCCAGAGGTCAACTAAACAACTGTTTACTAGAAAAAGGCATTCTCAATAGAGAGTCATATTAAATATAACATTACTCTTCAGGAGCTTGGTTAATGTATGATACAACGGACTTGGGCTTGGAGCCCATCATGACGGCAAAATGAGTTTCCCTTATAGTCCACATGTATATGATATAGTCCTAGACTATATTTGTATCATTTTGTGCTATCAGTTTGGTATGGGAATAGGCCAAATGAGGTCGCATTACACTGATCCCAAATGCATTTGAATTATGGCATACATGCTTCTTCCCCCCCCCCCCCCCCCCCCCAATCATCTATAGAGGTTGAGGGAGAGGGGGTGACCATGGGTCACCATGGAGAGGTGCTCACAAAAGGGTGTGTCGTGGGAACGGCTCCAGGGGTCAGGAGTGAGGGTAACGGGGTCAGTGGTCACAGCCAGCTGGACAGCACACAAGAGGAGACGAGGGTGAGAAAAGGGGGAGGATTGACCCAAAGGGACATTAACATTGACCTGCTGGGAGGGCAGAGAGGCTCACTGACCAATGCCTTTTCATGGGCAGCCTATGACGCTGTGACACACTCATGTCTAATTATCCATAGTAATTGACAAGCTATTCTCAGAGTTATGGTGGAAAAAGTAGCTATCAATATGCAGCAGTAGGTGTATTATGAGCCATGCAGGATGAAATAATGTTTTATTTTTGGAATTGTATTATATAACATATTGGTAACATTTACATTTTAGTCATTTAGCAGACGCTCTTATCCAGAGCGACTAGTGAGTGCATACATTATTTAAATTTTTCATACTGGCCCCCCGTGGGAATCAAACCCACAACCCTGGCGTTGCAAACGCCATGCTCTACCAACTGAGCTACATCCCTGCCGGCCATTCCCTCCCCTACGCTGGGCCAATTGTGCGCCGCCCCATGGGTCTCCCGGTCGCGGCCGGCTACGACAGAGCCTGGATTCGAACCAGGATCTCTAGTGGCACAGCTAGCACTGCGATGCAGTGCCTTAGACCACTGCGCCACTCGGGAAGTAAAAATCGTCCTTCCTCGGTTGCAACACTCACTACCAAGTTCCAAACTGCCTCTGGAAGCAATGTCAGCACAATAACTGTTCATCGGGAGCTTCATGAAATGGGTTTCCATGGCCGAGCAGCCGCACACAAGCCTAACATCACCACGCGCAATGCCAAGCGTCGGCTGGAGTGGTGTAAAGCTCACCGCCATTGGACTGGAGCAGTGGAAATGTGTTCTCTGGAGTGATGAATCACGCTTCACCATCTGGCAGTCCGACGAACAAATCTGGGTTTGGCGGATGCCAGGAGAACGCTAGCTGCCCGAATACATAGTGCCAACTGTAAAGTTTGGTGGAGGAGGAATAATGGTCTGTTTTTCATGGTTCGGGCTAGGCCATTTAGTTCCAGTGAAGGGAAATCTTCTGTGCTTCCAACTTTGTGGCATGACAATGTCCCCGTTCACAAAGCGAGGTCCATATAGAATAGGTTTGTAGAGATCGGTGTGGAAGAACTTGACTGGCCTGCATAGAGCCCTGACCTCAACCCCATCGAACACCTTTGGGATGAATTGGAACTCCGACTGCGAGCCAGGCCTAATCGCCCAACATCAGTGTACGACCTCACTAATGCTCTTGTGGCTGAATGGAAGCAAGTCCCCGCAGCAATGTTCCAACATCTAGTGGAAAGCCTTCCCAGAAGAGTGGAGGCTGTTATAGCAGCAAACGGGGGACCAACTTTTGGAATGAGATGTTCGATGAGCAGGTGTCCACATACATTTGGTCATGTAGTGTATATTGTGTTATTTTATGGCTGGTTATGACACGGACATACAGTAAGAGTGTCAAATCCCACATTTATTAAAATGTGTTTTTTCCCCTGCCAATACGTTTTCTTTCATTTAGAAATGTGTGTTATAGATCTGTCTTTCTCATTGAAAGCAAGTCTAAGAAGCGGTAGAGCAGTTCTATGTGTGCTATTTCTATGCGTTCCTGTCTTAAGTTTAGTTTTTGCGTCTTTTACTTTCGGTTTTGTACACCAGCTTCAAACAGCTGAAAATACAATATTTTGGGTAATGAAAAATATATTTCACAGTGATTTAGATGGTACAATGATTCTCTACACTATACTGGCTTGTTTTGTCACATAAACTGAAATTATTCACACTATTCACATTTTTGTAACCAGGAAATGGAGGAGCGATTTCTGCACAGTGCATCTTTAAAGAACTTTACTTGGACTAAGAAAATACACTTTAGGACATTATGACCATCCTGTGTCACTTTACTTGGACTAAGAAAATACACTTTATGACACTGTCATGAAGCATTATGACCATCCTGTGTCACTTTACTTGGACTAAGAAAATACACTTTATGACATTGTCAAGAAGCATTATGACCATATATACTGTGTCACTTTACTTGGACTAAGAAAATACACTCAATGACACTGTCAAGAATTGTATTTTTTAATTTTTTAATTTTTTATTTAACTAGGCAAGTCAGTTAAGAAGAAATTCTTATTTACAATGACGGCCTACCAAAAGGCAAAAGGCCTCCTGCGGGGACGGGGTGTCAAGGGCTGAGGTGTAAGGTGTGTGGAAGTCAGGCGCAGGACACCGAAGCTAGTCCAACAAAGTTTACTGAAGTTTACCAATAGGCAAAAATACAGAGAACGGCCTCAACAAATAAACAGAGGCGAGCAAATACGCAAACTGTGCGTAAAACAAATAAACAAGAAAACAGGTACAAAACACGCAGCACAATGGACAGGCGAAAAACAACACACAATCTAACCTAAGCAAAACAAGGAACTTATAGGACAAGTAATCAGCACACAAACGGACACAGGTGTAAAAGACAGACGAAAGCAATCACACCAAGAGCGTGGAGCGGTGGCAGCTAGTACTCCGGGGACGGCGAACGCCGAAGCCTGCCCGAACCAGGAGGAGGAGCAGTCTCGGCAGAATCCGTGACAGTACCCCCCCCTTGACGCGCGGCTCCAGCCGTGCGCCGACCCCGGCCTCGGGGACGGCCAGGAGGACGCGGACCCGGGCGCGTGGGATGCCCACGGTGGAACTCAGTCAGGAGGGACGGATCTAGGATGTCCCTCCTAGGCACCCAGCACCGTTCCTCCGGACCGTACCCCTCCCACTCCACGAGATACTGGAGACCACTCATCCGGCGCCTCGAGTCCAAGATGGTCCGGACCCTGTACGCCGGGGCCCCCTCGATGTCCAAAGGGGGCGGAGGGGTCTCTCCTATCTCATCTTCTTGGAGTGGGCCAGCTACCACCGGCCTGAGAAGAGACACATGGAACGAGGGGTTAATATTATTGTACTCAATAGGCAATTGTAACCTGTAACACACCTCGTTCAACCTTCTCAGGACTTTAAAGGGCCCCACAAACCGCCGACCCAGCTTCCGGCAGGGCAGGCGGAGGGGCAGGTTTCGAGTCGAGAGCCAGACTCGATCTCCTGGTACGTACACCGGTCCCTCACTGCGGTGGCGATCGGCGCTCGCCTTTTGTTGACGGATGGCACGCTGCAGATGGACATGGGCAGCGTCCCACGTCTCCTCCGAGCGCCGAATCCACTCGTCCACCGCAGGGGCCTCGATCTGGCTCTCGTGCCATGGTGCCAGGACCGGCTGATAACCTAAAACACACTGGAAAGGTGTTAAATTGGTAGAGGAGTGGCGGAGAGAGTTCTGGGCCATCTCTGCCCAGGGGATGAACCTAGACCACTCCTCCGGCCGGTCCCGGCAATAGGACCTCAGAAACCTACCCACATCCTGGTTGACACGTTCAACCTGCCCATTGCTCTCTGGGTGGTACCCCGAGGTAAGGCTTACCGAGACCCCCAAGCGTTCCATGAACGCCCCCCAAACTCTGGAGGTGAACTGGGGACCTCGGTCAGACACAATATCCTCGGGGACCCCATAGTGCCGGAACACATGGGTAAATAGGGCCTCAGCGGTCTGTAGGGCAGTAGGGAGACCCGGCATTGGGAGGAGACGACAGGCCTTGGAAAACCGATCCACAACGAAATGGTGGTATTCCCCTGGGAGGGGGGTAGGTCGGTCACAAAATCCACCGATAGGTGGGACCATGGTCGTTGTGGAACGGGCAGGGGATGTAACTTACCCCTGGGTAAATGTCTAGGCGCCTTACACTGGGCGCACACCGAGCAGGAGGAGACATAAACCCTCACATCCCTAGCTAACGTTGGCCACCAATATTTCACGCTAAGGCAGTGCACTGTCCGGCCAATACCTGGATGTCCAGAGGAGGGTGATGTATGAGCCCAATAAATCAGACGATCACGAACCTCGAGCGGGACGTATGTCCGTCCCACAGGACACTCGGGGGGAGTAGGGTCGGTACGCAGTGCCCGCTCGATTTCCGCATCGACCTCCCACACCACCGGAGCCACCAAACAAGACTCCGGCAGTATGGAAGTAGGCTCAATGGACCTCTCCTCTGTGTCATACCGCCGGGACAGGGCGTCTGCCTTACCGTTCTGGGACCCTGGGATGTATGTGATCTTAAAAACAAACCGGGTCAGGAACATGTTCCACCTAGCCTGACGAGGGTTCAATCTCCTAGCTGCCCTGATGTACTCCAGGTTACGGTGATCAGTCAGAATGAGGAAAGGGTGTTGAGCCCCCTCAAGCCAATGCCTCCACACCTTTAGGGCCTGGACTACAGCTAACAGCTCCCTGTCCCCAACGTCATAATTTCGCTCCGCCGAGCTGAGCTTCTTGGAGTAGAACGCACAGGGGCGGAGCTTAGGTGGCGTGCCGGACTGTTGTGACAGGACTGCCCCTATGCCGGCCTCGGACGCGTCTACCTCTACTTGGAATGGTAAAGAGGGATCCGGATGCGCCAGCACCGGGGCCGAGGTGAACAGGTTCTTCAGCTTGGCAAATGCCCTGTCCGCCTCAGCTGACCACTGCAACCGAACCGGACCCCCCTTTAGCAAGGACGTAATGGGAGCTGCAACCTGTCCAAAGCCCCGGATAAACCTCCGGTAGTAATTAGCAAAACCCAAGAACTGCTGCACCTCTTTGACCGTGGTTGGAGTTTGCCAATTACGCACGGCCGACACACGGTCTACCTCTATCTCCACACCAGACGCGGACAACCGATAACCCAAAAAGGAGACGGACTCCTGGAAGAACAGGCATTTCTCTGCCTTGACATACAAGTCATGCTCCAACAGTCTTCTCAACACTCTGCGCACCAGGGCTACATGCTCGGCTCGTGTGGAAGAGTACACTAGGATGTCGTCGATGTATACTACCACACCCTGCCCATGCATGTCCCGGAAAATCTCGTCAACAAAGGATTGGAAGACTGAAGGAGCATTCATTAACCCGTATGGCATGACGAGATATTCGTAATGACCCGAGGTGGTGCTAAATGCGGTCTTCCATTCATCCCCCTCCCTAATGCGTACCAGATTGTACGCGCTCCTGAGATCCAACTTTGTGAAGAACTGCGCTCCGCGTAATGATTCTGTCATAGTCGCAATCAGTGGAAGAGGGTAACTGTACTTAACCGTGATCTGATTGAGACTACGATAGTCAATACACGGGCGCAAACCCCCGTCCTTCTTCTTCACAAAGAAGAAACTCGAGGAAACCGGGGAAGTGGAGGACCGTATGTATCCCTGTGCCAAGGACTTGGCTATGTAAGTTTCCATAGCCGCTGTCTCCTCTTGAGACAGTGGATACACACGGCTCCGCGGAAGTGCCGCTCCTGTCTGGAGATCTATCGCACAATCCCCCTGTCTATGAGGTGGTAGCCGTGTAGCCCTCGTTTTACTGAACACAAGTGCTAAATCCTCATACTCGGGGGGAATGCGCATTGCGGGCACTTGGTTCGGACTCTCTACCGAGGTCGCCCCTAAGGAAACACCTAGACATCTCCCTACACACTGGGCAGACCACTCCATAAGAGCCCTCTGTTGCCACGCAATGGTAGGATCATGGGTGCTTAACCAGGGAAGCCCCAGCACCACGGGATACGCAGGAGAGTCAATCAGATAAAACTGAATGGTCTCCTCATGACCCCCCTGCGTCATCATCTTAAGTGGTGCTGTGACTTCTCTGATCAGCCCCGACCCCAACGGCCGGCTGTCTAGGGCGTGAACAGGAAAGGGGGCTTCTACCGGCCGAAGGGGAATTCCTAACTTATAACAAAATGCACGATCAACAAAATTCCCAGCTGCGCCTGAATCTACTAGCGCCTTATGCTGGGAATGAGGTGCCACCTGTGGAAATCTCACAGGTATACTCATGTGACCAACAGAGAGCTCTGGGTAAGTGGGGCGCCTACTCACCTGAAATGACTCCCCAGTGCGTGACCTGTGTCCTCCCCTCTCCCAGGAGACCCTCCCCAGCACCTGGCCGCGGTGTGTCCTCCACGGCCACAGTTGGTGCAGGGGATGGCCCCCCTCGGGTTCTCTCTCCTCCTCTCTCTAGCGCCAGCACCCCCGAGCTCCATGGGAATCGGCTCGGAGGTGCTGGAGGGTGGAATGGACGACCCCCACTCGGGACGTCCGCGGGTAGCCAGCAGGGTGTCGAGACGGATGGAGATGTCTACCAACTGGTCGAAGGTTAGGTTGGTGTCCCTGCAGGCCAGCTCACGACGAACGTCCTCTCGTAGGCTACACCGGTAATGGTCGATGAGGGCCCTCTCATTCCACCCCGCATCCGCCGCTAGAGTCCGGAACTCCAGGGCGAACTCCTGTGCGCTCCTCTTCCCCTGTCGGAGGTGGAACAGACGCTCCCCCGCCGCCTTCCCCTCAGGTGGGTGATCGAAGACAGCCCTGAAGCGGCGGGAGAACTCCGCGTAGGTGATGGTAGCGGCGTCTATTCCCCTCCATTCGGCGTTGGCCCACTCCAACGCCTTGCCGGATAGACAGGAGATGAGGGCGGAGACGCTCTCGTACCCCGAGGGCGCTGGGTGTATGGTAGCCAGGTAGAGTTCCACCTGCAGGAGGAACCCTTGACACCCGGCTGCAGAACCGTCATATGCCCTCGGGAGCGAGAGCCGTATGCCACTGGGTTCCGGTGCTGAGAGAGGAGGACTGGCCGTTGGTGATGGGATGGTGTGAGAAGGCGTGGGCACCTCTCCAGTCACCAACCGGCGCAGAGTGCATGGCGGCCCCAAGTTGCCGGATCATGGTGTCTTGATCGCTGATCCGATCCTCCAGCGACTTGGGTGCCGCCACTGCTCCTGCTGACTCCATGATGGTGTGTTGTTCTGTCAAGGGCTGAGGTGTAAGGTGTGTGGAAGTCAGGCGCAGGACACCGAAGCTAGTCCAACAAAGTTTACTGAAGTTTACCAATAGGCAAAAATACAGAGAACGGCCTCAACAAATAAACAGAGGCGAGCAAATACGCAAACTGTGCGTAAAACAAATAAACAAGAAAACAGGTACAAAACACGCAGCACAATGGACAGGCGAAAAACAACACACAATCTAACCTAAGCAAAACAAGGAACTTATAGGACAAGTAATCAGCACACAAATGGACACAGGTGTTGAAGACAGACGAAAGCAATCACACCAAGAAACATGGAGCGGTGGAAGCTAGTACTCCGGGGACGGCGAACGCCGAAGCCTGCCCGAACCAGGAGGAGGAGCAGTCTCGGCAGAATCCGTGACACGGGGGCTGGGATTAAAAATACATGGTACAAACATTATTTGGCACAGACAACAGCACAAAGGCAAGAAGGTAGAGATAACAATACATCACGCGAAGCAGCCACAACTGTCAGTAAGAGTGTCCATGATTGAGTCTTTGAATGACGTGATGGAGTTTTTTTGCAGTTTTTTGCAGTCGCTAGCTGCAGTGATTAAACATGTGTATCTGGATGTTCCAGGAAGCTGTTTTCTAATAGTCAAGTCAATACAGAATCTGAAATATATAAAGTATTATTATTCATAGTATTAGTGTTGTGGGTGTTCCTGATACTGAGAGAAAACTTTGTGGGGGTTATCAGACTGTTGTTATGTAAAGGGTCTGCGTTAGAGTTAGGGTTAGGTTTAGAATAAGGGTTAGGGTAAGGGCTAGGGTTAGGGTAAGGGTAACGTTTAGGATTAGGATAAGGGTTAAGGTAAGGGTTGGAGCTAGGGTTAGTAGATAGTTAGTTGGGGCAGGGATGCATGCTTAGTCCCCTCCTGTACTCCCTGTTCACCTACGACTGCGTGGCCAAGCACGACTCCAACATCATCATTAAGTTTGCTGTCTACACAACAGTGGTAGGTCTGATCACCGACAACGATTAGACAGCCTATAGGGAGGAGGTCAGAGACCTGGCAGTGTGGTGCCAGGACAACAACCTCTCCCTCAACGTGAGCAAGACAAAGGAGCTGATCGTGGACTACAGGAAAAGGAGGGACGAACACGCCCCCATTCACATCGACGGGGCTGTAGTGGAGCGGGTCGAGAGTTTCAAGTTCCTTGATGTCCACATCACCAACAAACTATCATGGTCTAAACACACCAAGACAGTCGTGAAGAGGGCACGACAACACCTTTTCCCCCTCAGGAGACTGAAAAGATTTGGCATGGGTCCCCAAATCCTCAAAAAGTTAGACAGCTGCACCATCGAGAGCATCCTGACCGGTTGCATCACCGCCTGGTATGGCAACTGCTCTGCATCCGACCGTAAGGCGCTACAGAGGCATTGTCAGAGGAAGGCCCAAAAAATTGTCAAAGACTCCAGTCACCCAAATCATAGACTGTTCTCTCTGCTACCGCACGGCAAGCGGAACCAGAGCGCCAAGTCTAGGTCCAAAAGGCTCCTTAACAGCTTCTACCCCCAAGCCATAAGACTGCTGAACAATTTATCAAATGGCCACCCGGACTATTTACATTGACCCCCTCTCGCTGTTTATTATCTATGCATAGTCTTTTTTTTTAACTTTAGTTTATTTAGTAAATATTTTCTTAAATCTATTTCTTGAACTGCATTGTTGGTTAAGGCCTTGTAAGTAAGCATTTCACTGTAAGGTTGTATTTGGTGCATGTGACAAATACAATTTGATTTGATTTGATTTGAAATGTTACTAATCTGTAGAGCATCTGGAGATGGACTATCCAAATAAAATGTTACTGAAGGTTGTCAAATTAAGGGCTCGATTTGATCCATATAGTGGAAGTTCAGAGTTATAGCTTGATTTAAATTTTAAGGCAATGTTCCCGTATTAGCGGAGACCACATTCACGGTAAACGCTGATCGGAAATTAACTTTAAATTTCAATAGCGCTGTAGTGCTGAAGTTCGGTGATACGGATTTAATCCATAAAGCCGTTCAATCATACAATCTACTGCTGTGTCAATGTAACAGTTGTTTAATATACAATCTACTGCTATGTCAATGTAACAGTTGTTTAATATACAATCTACTTCTGTGTCAATGTAACAGTTGTTTAATATACAATCTACTGCTATGTCAATGTAACAGTTGTTTAATATACAATCTACTTCTGTGTCAATGTAACAGTTGTTTAATATACAATCTAATGCTATGTCAATGTAACAGTTGTTTAATATACAATCTACTTCTGTGTCAATGTAACAGTTGTTTAATATACAATCTACTGATGTGTCAATGTAACATTTGTGGCAGACAGTGCAACAGCACCCAAGAACTCAACAGTAACACACTAGAACTCAACAGTAACGCACTAGAACTCAACAGTAACACACTAGAACTCAATAGTAACACACTTGAACTCAACAGTAACACACTAGAACTCAACAGTAACACACTAGAACTCAACAGTAACACACTGTCACTTTTTTAAACTATTGTAGTGTGCTACGACAACTGTAGTCATAGCTCCAAAATCACGTCGTTGTCACGGGAAGCCTGGTTCTTGACGAGACTACCACAACTGAGATGCAATACAATCAGCATAATGGACAAACATACAATCAAATCACCTGAAGAAAAACAAGATTCAGTTGAAACATAAATAGAGTTGGTAAAATCAGCATCATCTGATAGAGTTCTCATGGTATATACAGGCTGCTGGAGATGGATCCTTCTGATAGAGTTCTCGTGGTATATACAGGCTGCTGGAGATGGATCCTTCTGATAGAGTTCTCATGGTATATACAGGCTGCCGGAGATGAATCTTAGGCTGCCATGACGTGTTAGCATTTCTTACATACTTAAAGTTGTCAGAATCAGGGATGTATCAACCCCTCACCACTGTCCCCAGAACATTTGTAGCAGATGAAGTTGAGCCTCTGGTTCTCCTCCAGACTAACCCACTGCTGCCTCCCGGTGGTCTCTACAGCCCCTGCAATCCCACAGTCCTGCTGGCTGTCTGAGCCGTGCCCGGGGGCCCAGTTCTGGTAGCAGCCTGCATCAGACCTGATCCAGAACCAGAAGTGGAATGAACAGGTGAAGCGCAGGCCCACCCAGACGTGGGATGAAGTGGCATTGGTAGCCCTCTTGGCCACCCTGTACTGAAGCAACTCTGTAGTGATTGAGACCAGGTCAACGTGGTGCTCTCTGCAGTAGCTCAGGGCGTCGTTCCACGTCATGTTCTCACGGATCAATACCAGGTTGTCTGAGCAAAAGAAAGACAAAGATAGATAACATGGAGCCCATTCAACAAAATGTAGATTTGTATGCATTTATACCTCTGCTCTGTAACATAACATCTTTGAAACAACATAAAACCACAGCCAAACAAAAAAAGAGACGGTTAGGCTTACAACATGTCAATAGTTATGATATAATGATTAAACTTACCTGGACTTAAACCTTGACTGTTTTCAGTTGGCGTAACAGTGGAGACACTGACAGGCTCTGCAGTACTGTACGAAGCAGTCTCAACCACCGTGGTTATATCTAGGGCAGAAGTATGGTCAGTAGTCGCTCGTGTAATGCTGTGTTGCATTTCTGTGTCCGCAGTCCCAGTTGTTGATTGATGAGTTACATTCTCAGTAGTTGCATGTGTAGGTAAGTAACCAGCAGTCGCTGGATCTTTAGTTAGGTGTTTAGTAGTTGCCTCTTCAGTAGAAACACGCACTGCGCTATTGAATGTAGATCGTTTTTGAACAGGTACAGTAGTTGCAGGGTCAGAAGTTATGTGTTCAGTAGTTAACTGTTGAGTTGAAACTTGGTCTGTGGTATTGAATGTAGCTGGTACAGACGATGAAGGAGTGTTTTGGACAGGTGCAGAAGAAGCACTTGTAGTTAAGTAATCAGTAGTCACTTGCTCTCTAGTTGAGTGTTCAGTAGTTAACATTTCAGTTGAAGCATGTTCTGTGGTAGTTGGTGCAGATGTTGAGATAATGATTTGAACAGGTACAGTAGTTAAACTTTCTGTAATTAGGTGTTCAGTAGTTAACAGTTCAGTTGAAGCATGTTCTGTGGAAATGAATGTAGTTGGTATAAGCGTTGAGGTCCTGTTTTGAACAGGTACAGTAATCACTGGATCAGATGTTAGGAGTTCAGTAGTTAACTCATCAGTTGAAACTTGCTCTGTATTAGTGAATGTAGTTGGTACTGGTGTTGAGGGAGTGTTTTGTACCTGTGCAGTAATTGCTTGATCAGAGTTTAGGTGTCCAGTAGTTAATTGTTCAGTTGAAACTTGGTCTGTGGTATTGAATGTAGCTGGTACAGACGATGAAGGAGTGTTTTGGACAGGTGCAGTAGAAGCACTTGTAGTTAAGTAATCAGTAGTCGCTTGCTCTCTAGTTGAGTGTTCAGTAGTTAACATTTCAGTTGAAGCATGTTCTGTGGTAGTTGGTGCAGATGTTGAGATATTGCTTTGAACAGGTACAGTATTCGCTTGGTCAGACGTTAGGCGTTCAGTAGTTAACTGCTCAGTTGTAACTTGGTCTGTGGTATTGAATGAAGTTGGTACAGATGTTGAGGGAATGTTTTGAACAGGGACAGTAGTTGCATGTTCTGTAGTTAAGTATTCTGTAGTTAACTGTTCAGTTGAAGCATGTTCCATGGTAGTTGATGCAAACATTGAGATAATGCTTTGAACCGGTACCGTAGTTTCACTTTCTGTTATTAGGTGTCCAGTAGTTAACTTTTCAGTTGAAACTTGCTTTGTGGTAGTGAATGTAGCTGGTACAGACGATGAGGGAATGTTTTGTACAGGTGCAGTAGAAGCACTTTTAGGTAAGTAACCAGTAGTCATTTGATCTGTAGTTAGGTTTTCAGCAATTAACTGTTCAGTTGAAGCATGTTCTGTGGTAGTTGTTGCAGACGTTGAGATAATGCTTTGAACCGGTACCGTAGTTCCACTTTCTGTAGTTAGGTGTTCAGTAGTTAACAGTTCAGTTGAAACATGTTCTGTGGAAATAAATGTAGTTGGTATAGGCGTTGAGGTCCTGTTTTGAACAGGTACAGTAATAACTGGGTGATATGTTAGGAGTCTGGTAGATAGCTGTCCAGTAGAAACATGCACTGTGGTATTGAATGTAGTTGGTACTGGTATTGAGGGAGTGTTTTGAACCTGTGCAGTAATTGCTTGGTCAGAGTTTAGGTGTCCAGTAGTTAACTGCTCAGTTGAAACTTGGTCTGTGGTATTGAATGTAGCTGGTACAGACGATGAAGGAATGTTTTGGACAGGTGCAGTAGAAGCACTTGTAGTTAAGTAATCAGTAGTCACTTGCTCTGTAGTTGAGTGTTCAGTAGTTAACATTTCAGTTGAAGCATGTTCTGTGGTAGTTGGTGCAGATGTTGAGATAATGCTTTGAACAGGTACAGTAGTTTCATGTTCTGTAGTTAGGTGTGCGGTAGTTAACTTTTCAGGTGAAGCATGTTCTGTGGAAATGAATGTAGTTGGCTTTTTAACAGTTACAGTAGCCGCTGGGTCAGACGTTAGGTGTTCAGTAGTTAACTGTTCAGTTGATTGTTCTGTGGTATTGAATGTAGTTGGTACTGGTGTTGAGGGAGTGTTTTGAACCTGTGCAGTAATTGCTTGATCAGAGTTTAGGTGTCCAGTAGTTAACTGTTCAGGTGAAGCATGTTCTGTGGAAATGAATGTAGTTGGTACAGACGTTGAGGGAATGTTTTGGACAGGGACAGTAGTTGCTTTTTCTGTAGTTAGGTTTTCAGTAGTTAACATTTTAGTTGAAGCATGTTCTGTGGTAGTTGGTGCAGACGTTGAGATAATGCTTTGAACAGGTACAGTAGTTTTATGTTCTGTAGTTAGGTGTTCAGTAGTTAACCGTTCAGGTGAAGCATGTTCTGTTGTATTGAATGAAGTTGGTTTTTGAACAGTTACAGTAGTCGCTGGGTAAGAAGTTAGGTGTCCAGTAGTTAACAGTTCAGTTGAAGCATGTTCTGTGGAAATGAATGTAGTTGGTATAGGCGTTGTGGTCCTGTTTTGAACAGGTACAGTAATCACTGGGTCAGATGTTAGGAGTCTGGTAGATAGCTGTCCAGTAGAAACATGCACTGTGGTATTGAATGTAGTTGGTTTTTGAAAAGGTACAGTAGTCAATGGGTCAGAGGTTAGGTGTTCAGTAGCTAACTCATCAGTTGAAACTTGGTCTGTGGTATTGAATGTAGCTGGTACAGACGATGAAGGAGTGTTTTGGACAGGTGCAGTAGAAGCACTTGTAGTTAAGTAATCAGTAGTCGCTTGCTCTCTAGTTGAGTGTTCAGTAGTTAACATTTCAGTTGAAGCATGTTCTGTGGTAGTTGGTGCAGATGTTGAGATAATGGTTTGAACAGGTACAGTAGTTGCACTTTCTGTAATTAGGTGTGCAGTAGTTAACTCATCAGTTGAAACTTGCTCTGTGGTATTGAATGTAGTTGGTACTGGTGTTGAGGGAGTGTTTTGAACCTGTGCATTGCTTGATCAGAGTTTAGGTGTCCAGTAGTTAATTGTTCAGTTGAAACTTGCTCTGTAGTATTTGGTACAGGCATTGAGATATTGCTTTGAACAGGTACAGTATTCGCTTGGTCAGACTTTAGGTGTTCAGTAGTTAACTGCTCAGTTGTAACTTGGTCTGTGGTATTGAATGTAGCTGGTACAGACGATGAAGGAATGTTTTGGACAGGTGGAGTAGAAGCACTTTGCAGTTAAGTAATCAGTAGTCACTTGCTCTGTAGTTGAGTGTTTCAGTAGTTAACATTTCAGTTGAAGCATGTTCTGTGGTAGTTGGTGGCAGATGTTGAGATAATGCTTTGAACAGGTACAGTAGTTCCACTTTCTGTAGTTAGGTTTTCAGAAATTAACTGTTCAGTTGAAGCATGTTCTGTGGAAATGAATTAGTGTGGTATAGGCGTTGAGGTCCTGTTTTGAACAGGTACAGTAATCATTGGGTCAGATGTTAGGAGTCTGGTAGACAGCTGTCCAGTAGAAACATGCACTGTGGTATTGAATGTAGTTGGTTTTGAACAGTTACCTGTGTCAGACAGTTAGCAGAACTCATCAGTTGAAACTTGTTCTCTGGTAGTGAATGTAGTTGGTACTGGTGTTGAGGGAGTGTTTTGAATCTGTGCAGTAATTGCTTGATCAGAGTTTAGGTGTCCAGTAGTTAACTGTTCAGGCGAAGCATGTTCTGTGGAAATTAATGTAGTTGGTACAGACATTGAGGGAATGTTTTGGACAGGGACAGTATTTACTTGTTCTGTAGTTAGGTTTTCAGTAGTTAACATTTTAGTTGAAGCATGTTCTGTGGTTGTTGGTGCAGACGTTGAGATAATGCTTTGATCCGGTACCGTAGTTCCACTTTCTGTAGATAGATTTTCAGTAGTTAACAGTTCAGTTGAAGCATGTTCTGTGGTAGTTGGTGCAGACGTTGAGATAATGCTTTGAACCGGTACCATAGTTCCCACTTTCTGTAGATAGGTGTTCAGTAGGTTAACAGTTCAGTTGAAGCATGTTCTGTGGAAATGAATGTAGTTGGTATAGGCGTTTGTGGTCCTGTTTTGAACAGGTACAGTAATCACTGGGTCAGATGTTAGGAGTCTGGTAGATAGCTGTCCAGTAGAAACATGCACTGTGGTATTGAATGTAGTAGTTGAAACTTGGGGTCTGTGTAGTGACGTAAGCTGGTACAGACGATGACGGGTGTCTTTGGCAGGTGCAGTTAGAAGCCCTTGGAGTTAAGAATCAGTAGACTCGCGTGCTCTTAGTTGAGTGTTGCAGTAGTTAACATTCAAGTGAAGCATGTTTCTGTGGAGTTGGTGCAGATGTTGAGATAGATGTTTGGAACAGGCTACAGTAGTTGCACTGTCTGTAATTAGGTTGATTAGTTTAACTAATCAAGTGAAACTTGCTCTTGTGGTATTTGAATGTAGTTGGTTACTGGTGTTGAGGGAGTGTTTGAACCTGTGCAGTAATTGCTTGATCAGAGTTTAGGTGTCCAGTAGTTAATTGTTCAGTTGAAACTTGCTCTGTAGTATTTGGTACAGGCATTGAGATATTGCTTTGAACAGGTACAGTATTCGCTTGGTCAGACGTTAGGTGTTCAGTAGTTAACTGCTCAGTTGTAACTTGGTCTGTGGTATTGAATGTAGCTGGTACAGACGATGAAGGAATGTTTTGGACAGGTGCAGTAGAAGCACTTGCAGTTAAGTAATCAGTAGTCACTTGCTCTGTAGTTGAGTGTTCAGTAGTTAACATTTCAGTTGAAGCATGTTCTGTGGTAGTTGGTGCAGATGTTGAGATAATGCTTTGAACAGGTACAGTAGTTCCACTTTCTGTAGTTAGGTGTTCAGTAGTTAACAGTTCAGTTGAAGCATGTTCTGTGGAAATGAATGTAGTTGGTATAGGCGTTGAGGTCCTGTTTTGAACAGGTACAGTAATCACTGGGTCAGATGTTAGGAGTCTGGTAGACAGCTGTCCAGTAGAAACATGCACTGTGGTATTGAATGTAGTTGGTTTTTGAACAGTTACAGTAGTCGCTGGGTCAGACGTTAGGTGTTCAGTAGTTAACTCATCAGTTGAAACTTGTTCTCTGGTAGTGAATGTAGTTGGTACTGGTGTTGAGGGAGTGTTTTGAATCTGTGCAGTAATTGCTTGATCAGAGTTTAGGTGTCCAGTAGTTAACTGTTCAGGCGAAGCATGTTCTGTGGAAATTAATGTAGTTGGTACAGACATTGAGGGAATGTTTTGGACAGGGACAGTATTTACTTGTTCTGTAGTTAGGTTTTCAGTAGTTAACATTTTAGTTGAAGCATGTTCTGTGGTTGTTGGTGCAGACGTTGAGATAATGCTTTGATCCGGTACCGTAGTTCCACTTTCTGTAGATAGATTTTCAGTAGTTAACAGTTCAGTTGAAGCATGTTCTGTGGTAGTTGGTGCAGACGTTGAGATAATGCTTTGAACCGGTACCATAGTTCCACTTTCTGTAGATAGGTGTTCAGTAGTTAACAGTTCAGTTGAAGCATGTTCTGTGGAAATGAATGTAGTTGGTATAGGCGTTGTGGTCCTGTTTTGAACAGGTACAGTAATCACTGGGTCAGATGTTAGGAGTCTGGTAGATAGCTGTCCAGTAGAAACATGCACTGTGGTATTGAATGTAGTTGGTTTTTGAAAAGGTACAGTAGTCAATGGGTCAGAGGTTAGGTGTTCAGTAGTTAACTCATCAGTTGAAACTTGGTCTGTGGTATTGAATGTAGCTGGTACAGACGATGAAGGAGTGTTTTGGACAGGTGCAGTAGAAGCACTTGTAGTTAAGTAATCAGTAGTCGCTTGCTCTCTAGTTGAGTGTTCAGTAGTTAACATTTCAGTTGAAGCATGTTCTGTGGTAGTTGGTGCAGATGTTGAGATAATGGTTTGAACAGGTACAGTAGTTGCACTTTCTGTAATTAGGTGTGCAGTAGTTAACTCATCAGTTGAAACTTGCTCTGTGGTATTGAATGTAGTTGGTACTGGTGTTGAGGGAGTGTTTTGAACCTGTGCAGTAATTGCTTGATCAGAGTTTAGGTGTCCAGTAGTTAATTGTTCAGTTGAAACTTGCTCTGTAGTATTTGGTACAGGCATTGAGATATTGCTTTGAACAGGTACAGTATTCGCTTGGTCAGACGTTAGGTGTTCAGTAGTTAACTGCTCAGTTGTAACTTGGTCTGTGGTATTGAATGTAGCTGGTACAGACGATGAAGGAATGTTTTGGACAGGTGCAGTAGAAGCACTTGTAGTTAAGTAATCAGTAGTCACTTGCTCTGTAGTTGAGTGTTCAGTAGTTAACATTTCAGTTGAAGCATGTTCTGTGGTAGTTGGTGCAGATGTTGAGATAATGCTTTGAACAGGTACAGTATTCGCTTGGTCAGACGTTAGGCGTTCAGTAGTTAACTGCTCAGTTGTAACTTGGTCTGTGGTATTGAATGAAGTTGGTACAGACGTTGAGGGAATGTTTTGGACAGGGACAGTAGTTGCTTGTTCAGTAGTTAACATTTTAGTTGAAGCATGTTCTGTGGTAGTTGGTGCAGACGTTGAGATAATGCTTTGAACCGGTACCGTAGTTCCACTTTCTGTAGTTAGGTGTTCAGTAGTTAACAGTTCAGTTGAAGCATGTTCTGTGGAAATGAATGTAGTTGGTATAGGCGTTGAGGTCCTGTTTTGAACAGGTACAGTAATCACTGGGTCAGATGTTAGGAGTCTGGTAGACAGCTGTCCAGTAGAAACATGCACTGTGGTATTGAATGTAGTTGGTTTTTGAACAGTTACAGTAGTCGCTGGGTCAGACGTTAGGTGTTCAGTAGTTAACTCATCAGTTGAAACTTGTTCTCTGGTAGTGAATGTAGTTGGTACTGGTGTTGAGGGAGTGTTTTGAATCTGTGCAGTAATTGCTTGATCAGAGTTTAGGTGTCCAGTAGTTAACTGTTCAGGCGAAGCATGTTCTGTGGAAATTAATGTAGTTGGTACAGACATTGAGGGAATGTTTTGGACAGGGACAGTATTTACTTGTTCTGTAGTTAGGTTTTCAGTAGTTAACATTTTAGTTGAAGCATGTTCTGTGGTTGTTGGTGCAGACGTTGAGATAATGCTTTGATCCGGTACCGTAGTTCCACTTTCTGTAGATAGGTTTTCAGTAGTTAACAGTTCAGTTGAAGCATGTTCTGTGGAAATGAATGTAGTTGGTATAGGCGTTGTGGTCCTGTTTTGAACAGGTACAGTAATCACTGGGTCAGATGTTAGGAGTCTGGTAGATAGCTGTCCAGTAGAAACATGCACTGTGGTATTGAATGTAGTTGGTTTTTGAACAGGTACAGTAGTCGCTGTGTCAGACGTTAGGTGTTCAGTAGTTAACTGTTCAGTTGAAACTTGCTCTGTATTAGTGAATGTAGTTGGTACTGGTGTTGAGGGAGTATTTTGAACAGGTGCAGTAGAAGCACTTGAAGGTATATAACCAGTAGTTTCTTGCTCTCTAGTTAAGTGTTCAGTAGTTAACTGTTCAGTTGAAGCATGTTCTGTGGAAATGAATATAGTTGGTACAGGCATTGAGATATTGCTTTGAACAGGTACAGTAGTCGCTTGGTCAGACGTTAGGTGTTCAGTAGTTAACTGTTTAGTAACATTTACTGTGGTATTGAATGTAGTTGGTTTTTTAACAGTAGTTGCATGTTCGGTAGTTAGGTGTTTAGTAGTTAACTGTTCAGTTGAACCTTGCTCTGTGGTAGTGAATGTAGTTGGTGCTGGTGTAGACGGAGTGTTTTGAACAGGTAGGACTACAGTAGTTGCTTTGTCAGAGGTTGGTAAACGTGGTGAACGAATTTTTTTCATTTGCACAAAATTAGTTTTTGTTTTCTCATGTGTTTCTTCAGTCAGGCAACACAGTCCTGTAAAATACAAGCAAAAACCATTAGTGAGCAAGTTAATAATATCTCCTTGCTGCATGCATAGATTTCACACACACATCCTAGTAATATCACAGAATGTTATGAACAACAACATATCAACGTATAATACACATCATGTTGCTTTTTATGGACAGAGAGAACTATGAAAGGATCATGAAAAATGGGCTGCCGTTTGAAAGTTACCCATGTGTTTATTGCATAACAGACGATCAGAATTATATTTTATGTATGAGGTACTCCAACACTTATACCTCTTTCTAAAGGATTTATATTTTAATGCCTTATTCAATGATGCCTAAATTATACCCAGTAGGCCTATATGCCTAGATTATCACAATGATTTGAACAAAGAACTTTGATGTTATTGAAAGCACTGAAGAATACATACCTGAGATGAACAGGAGATGCAACAGTGGAGTGCTCCTCATCATGATAGCTTTTAATTTCAGAATGGGTTGTCAAACACTGTAAACCTGAAATCATCGTAACTGTCTATTACTAACATTCAGATCTAACCAAATCATACAATCTGTGACACCCTGTGTTGTACTCCAGTACATAATCCTCTGAAATGGAGGCAACTGACACTCATTGTAACTTAGTTGACTTACTTATTAGGACTCCCTAGTAGCAGGTGTCTAAGAATGTGACCGGTCTTGCTTATAAAGGCAGCACATTTTAGGTTCACCCTTGTCATAATGTTCCCTGACAAGGTAGTTCAACAGGTTAAACCTTTCGCTCTTATACATACAGCCTACATGACTAGGCTGTGACAGGTGGTAAGAAAGAACACGGAAGCGTGTCACCAAAAACCACATGATAATTGACCAAAATTACGTAATCACATTGTGAACCTGTTGACATACACTGATAATGGAAAAGTCATTGGTAGGTCTATTCGCTTACAGACAAAAAGCAATTGTCCCAGATTGGACAGTCATTAGTAAGTTGCTAAGAATGTGGTTGAGCAATTCAGGTTACTCTGTATGAAGATACCTTCCCAAACAGGTAACAATATAGTTACTGTCTTTTGCTGGTCTGACAAATGAGCGTAAAACAAAATGATTCATCAAGTTAGCGACAGAATTGTTCACTCAAGGGCATGATTAGTGATCAGCAGACCTACTGTTCCCCTTTAAAGAACAAGGAAGTTTAAACTCTGCTTGATGCAAAAGACTAGGAGCCCGCACTGGGGCACATACGTACGTGAGAATGATTCCCATGTTACATGTCTAAAATTTAAAATCCGAATCAGAATTAATAAAGAACACAACCACCATCGCTCCAGCGCATAGAATTAAAAAAGTATTGTCGGATATTATTCATTCTAATCAGACAGGTTTTTTACATGGAAGATACATTGGAGATAATATAAGGCAAGTATTGGAAACAATAGAACACTATGGAAAATATGGGAAACCAGGCCTGCTATTCATAGCAGACTTCGAAAAGGCATTTGATAAAGTTCGACTGGGGTTTATATATAAATGCCTGGAGCATTTCAATTTTGGAGAATCTCTTATAAAATGGGTCAAAATCATGTATAGTAACCCTAGGTGTAAAATAGTAAATAATGGCTATTTCTCAGAAAGTTTTAAACTGTCAAGAGGAGTGAAACAAGGATGTCCACTATCGGCATATCTATTTATTGTGGCCATCGAGATGTTAGCTATTAAAATCAGATCCAATAATAATATCAGAGGATTAGAAATACAGGGCTTAAAAACAAAGGTGTCATTGTACGCTGATGATTCATGTTTTCTTTTAAATCCACAACTAGAATCCCTGCACAGCCTCATAGAGGATCTAGATACATTTTCTAACCTCTCTGGATTACAACCAAATTATGACAAATGTACTATATTACGTATTGGATCACTAAAAAATAAAAAATTTACATTACCATGTAGTTTACCAATAAAATGGTCTGATGGTGATGTGGATATACTCGGAATACATATCCCAAAGGAAATAAATGATCTCACTTCAATAAATTTTAATAGAAAGTTAGCAAAAATAGATAAGATCTTACTACCATGGAAAGGAAAATACCTGTCAATTTGTGGAAAAATCACCCTGATTAACTCTTTAGTATTATCCCAGTTTACCTATTTGCTTATGGTCTTGCCTACGCCTAGCGAACAGTTTTTTTTAATTATATGAGAAAAAAATATTCAATTTTATTTGGAACGGCAAGCCAGACAAAATTAAAAGAGCATATTTATATAATGAATATGAATCCGGAGGACAGAAATGATTAAATATTAAAGCATTAGACCTATCACTAAAAGCTTCAGTCATACAAAAGTTATACTTAAATCCGAACTGGTTCTCAAGAAAATTAGTAAGATTGTCTCACCCAATGTTCAAGAAAGGCATTTTTCCCTTTATTCAGATTACAACCTCTCACTTTCAGTTATTTGAAAAGGAAATAATCTCCCAATTGTCACTATTTCTAAAACAAGCCATAGAAAGTTGGTTGCAATTTCAATGTAATCCTCCAGAAACGACAGAACAAATAATGCAACAAATATTGTGGTTAAATTCAAATATACTAATTGACAAAAAACCTTTATTTTTTGACAGAATGTTTAAAAAAGGTATAATCTTCGTAAATGATATCATCGGTAGGACTGGTGAAGTTATTTACTTTTCAAATAACTGATGCAGCTAACGAAAACATGTGGAAATGTCTGCTCTACCCAAAATTACAACCAAATAATTGCAGCCTTACCGCAAAAGTGGAAGAGGAAAGTGGAAGGGGGAGAAAGTAAGGAACTTGTCTGTCGGCCTTGCATTAAAGAACATAATTGGTTAAGGAAAACTGTGATAAATAAAAAAGTATATCAGTTTCACTTAAGGACCAAAGGATTGACAGCCGTCCCATATAGATTGCAAAATAGTTGGGAAGAGATCTTTTGACGTACCGATCCCATGGCATAGTGTTTATGAACTGACATGCAAAACGACACCGGATTCAAAAATTAGAATCTTTCAATTTAAATTATTATATAAAATTCTTGCTACCAATAGAATGTTATTTATATGGGGGATACAATCTTCCCAGCTCTGCAGGTTTTGCTGTGAAGAGACAGAATCATTAGATCATTTGTTTTGGTTCTGTCCATTTGTAGCTTGTTTTTGGACACAGGTCCAGGAATGGCTAAAGGATTGCAATATTTACCTGGAACTAACCTTGCATATAGCATTACTGGGTGATCTGAAAAGTCATAGTCAATCAATCAATAATATAATAATACTTTTAGCAAAAATGTTTATTTTTAATTCACAATCTGTAGAAGCAATGAGAATAGGTAGGCAGGTAGCTTAGTGGTTAAGAGCGTTGTGCCAGTAACCGAAAGGTTGCTGGTTCTAATCCCCGAGCCGACTAGGTGAAAAAACTGTCTGTGCCCTTGAGCAAGGCACTTAACCCTAATTGCTCCTGTAAGTCGCTCTGGATAAGAGCGTCTGCTAAATGACCAATTTATTTAGAATAGAAAGGTTCCGAATTTTTGTAAAACATCACAGTACGGTTGAAATATATATGGCAAATAGAAATCCTATATGGATGGTGTTACAAGATAGATGGGAGGTATTGAATAGAGTTGAAGGATGGGACTAATAACAAATAACAACAAATAATAACAAAGATAGCTAATAATGTAAGCATACTGTGTCCATAATAAGTATATAGGTTGTATGTTGGGAACTTTTGGGAAGGAGCACAGTTAGAAAGATATGGCATATAGAAGCAAACCGGATGGACACCATGAAAATGATCGGAGAGGTTGAGAGTAGAAGAAGTTCAGGAGCAAAATATATATATATATATAATATAATTATTGTAAAATTAACTCTGTCCATAAGGTGTAGATAGTAAGTATAGACCGGAAGTAGAGGCCTGGGCATTGTTGTTCACTAATTTACTCCAAGTAGGGAAAGGATGGTGGGGTTGAAAAGTAATAAAGGGGAGTATATATATAAAAAATAAAAAAACATGGGGGATCGGAAGTGATGCAGACAATTACATTGATAGAAGATACAATCTATCTGCAATATTAAGATGATCCATTCCCATTAAAAAATACAAAATACAAAAATAATAATAATACAAAAGAACACAACCACCAGGGCAAAATGAGCAAACAAAGTAGAAAATAGAAGATTTAACTGTACCTCTGTCATCTCCCGAGGCTGCTTACCAAACTTCCCATATAGGCTCAACTTCCTAGATTTGCATAGGCTACACCAAAATATACAGTAGGCTAATTTGCATTTTCTCTCAAAATAATCACATGATGAGAAAAGTGAATAAACAAACAGACACTGAGCCATATTGGTTGTATGTCTTATTTTTATTTTGTAAGTATTATTTAACCCAAAATATATTTGAGATTAAGAATCATTGTGAAATAAAGCTGTCTAAATGGTTTACATGCATGTTTTAATTTTAGTTTAACCAGCTGTCCTCCTGTCAAACCACCACCATTATTCAACCATGAAATGTATTGGGAATAGGCTTTTGCAGAATAATCTTTTATCATCAGGTGATAAATATCCTAAATCTATGTAGTCTACATTGATTTACATCTATTCATAGTAGCCTAGTAGTATAGTTACATTTGTAAAATGTAATGTTCTTTAATTTGTGAATCTGTTGATTTTCCTTTATATATTAGCTACGGTATATAGAGGAAAATTGCTACATTAGTCCTACCCCTGGTCCATATTGCAACTGTTTTGCCCAGAGACATTGTGGCTCTAAAGACACTGTCACTGGCATTGAGCCAACATGGCTTCCTTTCCGTGTAAACAACAACAGCATCAAGTGAACGGGGTTTGAGTTTAGGCCTATTACCTCGCATATGCTCTGTCTCTTGGATTTCGCAAATAATACGCAACTAGAAATAGTTATGTAACCTACAACGATGTGCCGAATGTGTTTCTAGTGAGTATATATTGCGCCCACCCCAATTGTAACTCGCTAATTTATCTTTTGAGGCCAACATGAACATTAGTTAGCTGCTAGCCTGCTAACGTTAGCTCGCTGGCAAGCTACCACCACCAAGGGATATTGAGTTTGAAGCAGCTAGCTAGCAAGTTATCTAGCGAAACATGGTGTGAGTTTTTTTAAAGGTTGATAGTTCGGTACAATCGATGCTTGTTGTGAAATGTAATTGCATACAATCAACGTATACATATTTTTAGTTTACATACAGTAGCAACGTGCTAGACATTAGCTAGCTAACTAAAGTTAGCTAACGTCTGGTCTAATTTATCATTGCTTGCAAACGTTCGCTAGTTAGCCAACAGTACATGTTAGCTTTTCAATTATCGCTTACGCTGGATTAAAGTGATCTCTCATTGGACCACTTGGATGAAACCAGTGTTTATAATTTTCTTAGCTAACTAACATTAGCTAAAGTTAAAGTCAGCTGACCGTCTCATATTTACAGCTATCTAGCGAGGTAACTACTTAGCTATGTTCGTTAGTTAGCTAACTTAACTAGCTAGCTACGACGTTTGTTTTATTTTAGCTAGTTAGTATAGTAACTGGTAATGTGAAGAGAGGCCTGTCAGTTTATACGATTAAGGATTATTAATCATTAATACAGTAGCGAACATACCCCATTCCATGGTAGCTAGCATGACAGTTATTTAGGCCTTTCTAGTTTTAATTAAATAGTTTACCTAACTAACTAGTAGGAACAACCTAACTAGCTAGCTACCGGTAAGTAATTTGTTAGATCAAATAGTTACCAATGAGAATACTGAATGTCTTACAATCAACTGAATATCGTCAGTTGTCTAAGTAGCTAGGGGCCTACAAGTGGCATTTATGGGGATACTAATACATTTCGCTGGCCACATGAAGTAGCTAACCTTAAAAAAATTTTTGTTATCAATTGTGATAATGTAACCTTCAACCCCAACAGATTATTGTCCTTCAGACAACTCATCATCCTCCTCTCCGCTGGGTAGTTCAATAGCCATGTCCTCGCATCAGCCCACCAGTTCAGCCTCCAACAGTCCCACCAGCACCTTTGGCTCACCTTTCTCAGTCATCAGCCCCTCACTGGGCTCCCCTGGTGTGGCACCCTCCATGGGTTATGGGCCTATTAGCAGTAGTCAGGTGAGAAACAAACCCAGGGACCTTGTTTTGCTTTTATGTTTGCATTTGAATGATCCTACTCTGTATGTGTTTATTCTCTAGCATTATTTCCAAGCTCAGACAAGTGCAAAAGTTTGTTGCTGCACACATAACCGCTGACATTTAGGCTAGCCTAGATGTTATTTTTTATTTTTTTAAATCAGTCATGATAACAGTATTGTTATTTATTTATATATATATATATATATATATATATATAATTATTATTATTATTATTATAATTTTTTTTTTCTTCACTTTTTTGTTTGTGCACAGATCAACTCTACAATGGGGATGCACTCGATCAGCAGCTCCGATGATGTCAAGCCCCCGTTTGGCTTGAGGCCTATGTCTGCACACAGCCCTGGGATAATGCTCTCCCAGAAACGCATGTGTGCCATCTGTGGAGACCGCTCCTCTGGTGAGTGCTGTGCACTAAGAGCAGGGTTAGTAGAGGTGAAACGTCGGGCTGGGGACTTATTTTAAATCCCTGGCAATTTCAGAGAGGATAATCCTTTTTGTCAGCTGTCTTCAGCTGTGTGTCCTGACCTCTGCATCAGTCTAACCAATGTTCTTTACCGGCCTGTTTGATTCTATGTCAGTATATAAACACTAAAGGCATTTGAAATGCTGCAGATTCATTAATTAGTGAAGCTCTGCGTAACTGCTCGTAAAAAAAAAAAAAAACTCCTCATTCCTACATAGTGTTGCACGGTATACCGGTACCACGGTAATATCACAGTACCAAAACGTCATGATACTAATGATACCAACATTTTAGAATACCGTAGTACTGTTTCATATGATACTACCGACTTTTTCAGCCCTACCGATAAAAAAATATAATTTAGCTGTGATGGCGAGCGGGGATACAGACCCTGATGAGTGTTCTGTTAGATTTGTTACATTGGAGCAGCGCGCAAAGCGAGCAATGATGATACATTGTATCATTTCATCGCCTGTTATACCCAAGAGCACAGACCAGTCTGAGTATACTTTTCAAGTTCATGTTCATGCAGCCTCTGAGTGTCAGAGAGGGAAAATGGAGCACCGCTTGGCGACAGGCGTGCTTGCTGCTTTACAGCAAAGAAAAGGGCTTGTCTCGAAAATATGACCCTTATTACCAGAGATGCCTTTTTTTATTTATATCGGGATTCACACGTATTTTATATAATTTCTAAAAAAAATGTAGCAAGCCATTTTAAACTAATCCCGGGTCGCTAATTATTGCTTTGATAATGAACAACGTTGTTCAGTCATGTTACCTAGCTAGCTAACATCCTGGTAACTTGACAGTAGGTTTAGGCTCATCTGAATGGCCCAGGAAGAAAGGAAAAGGGTTTGCTACTCATGAGATGTAGGCCTAATGGAAGACTAAACGATTTCAAAATCTATTTCTTTCTGGTGCTCCTTAAATTCTGTTTGGTGCCTAACGTTTTAAAAGTTGGGAGCAGTGTGTGTATGTGTTTGTGGGAGACTGCAAGTGGTGTGTGTGTGTGTGTTTATGAGAGTGAGGGAGACCGTGTGTCTGTCTGTGTTAACTGAAGAGTAAAGAAGGTTTCATGCAATGTTTTCCCCTTACTCACACAATGACATGCAGATCATTATGCATCACAGGAGGTTGCTGGCACCTTAGTTGGGGACGACAGGCTCGTGGTAATGGCTGGAGTGGAATCAGTGGAATGGTATCAAACACGTTTTCTATGTGTTTGATGCCATTCCATTTGCACCGTTCTAGTCATTATTATGAGCCGTCCGTCCCTCAGCAGCCTCCACTGATGTATATTCCTTCCTCCTATTCCTCCAGCCAAATCACACAAAGGCCTTTGCAAAACTTAGCAAATCAGCCATTCAATGCATTATGCTATTATACACTGAACAGTGTGAAGTTAAATTCAATGTGTTGTATTGAGTAGAAGTGTGAATTTTTAGAAAACGTGAACAAGCGTCAGGGGGATGAGGCGAACAGGATTCTAGGCCATTGATTTTTCCCCCACTATGGTATTGAGATACTACTTGGCCTGGTGTCATATCATTTGTAAAATGTTGGTGTCGTGACAAGCCTACCCCCCCCGCAGGTAAGCACTACGGTGTGTACAGCTGTGAAGGTTGCAAGGGCTTCTTCAAACGCACAGTTCGCAAGGACCTGAGCTACACCTGCAGGGATAACAAAGAGTGCCTGGTGGACAAGCGCCAGCGCAACCGCTGCCAGTACTGCCGCTACCAGAAGTGTCTGGCTATGGGCATGAAGAGGGAAGGTGAGGAGGGGAGGGGAGGGGAGGGACTGAATGTTTGGAGCATTCATATTTAATCAATTTTGATGAGAGTTTGTAGGAGTGCTTTTGAAAGGGCAACATAAATTTTAAAAAGATTGAGAAACTTGTGGGTTTTTAAAACCTGCATAATCAACTTGACTACATTTTTTTTCAAAGTAGGCTGTTGTAAGAATATATTTTGGATAGACTCAGAAATGGTATAGTTCAAAGCCCAGAATCATTTGGCCAAATGATTGAATATAGGCCTAGCCCAGTAAAACCTTTGACGATCACTTCTATTTGATCATTTTATTGTGTGGGGGAGGGTACGTTGTTTTCAAAGTCATTAACAAAACAGAGGGGGAGAGAATATCGGGGTAGGTTCATATAACTAACCCCTCTCTTACTTTTCTTTCCCCCTATTCTCTCTCTCCCTCCTTCTATAGTGGTCCAAGATGAACGTCAGAAATGTAAGGATAAAGTCATGGCGAGATGAAGAATGATATATTTGGATGTGGTATTGAGAGATTGCAATTAAACACCAAATGCTCGGCACACACTGGTAGGCTAATTCTCACATCACAATGGCTATGAAATGAAAGACGTGAATGCATTATGGTGTAAAAGTATACCAATTTGACCTTTCACCCTGTATGGATGAAGCCTAACACGAGTTAAGACGGGCACAACAGGGTTTCCTCCTTTCTTTTCTAAACCTGTGACTCCACTCCCTCCCGTCCCTCTCCTATTAACCCCCACCCCTCTTCCTGTCTCCCGTCTCTCCCTCTCCCCTCCTGGCTGTGTGGTGTGGTGTGGTTGGGTGCATGGCGGGGTGCAGCAGTCCAGGAGGAGCGTCAGAGGATCAGGGAGCGAGAGGAGGGACTGGAGTGCAGCAGTGCTGTGAACGAGGAGATGCCCGTGGAGAAGATCTTGGAGGCGGAGACGTCCGTGGAGCAGAGGGTGGAGCTCCACTCTGACGCAGGCTCCGCTGGTAGTTCTGTGAGTATACAGGGCTATACTGTTGACTGGATCAGTATTAGGGTTGCGAAATTTTGCGACGCTAATAAGTATTCGGATAGAGCGGTGTCACCTCAAGGAATTACCTGGCTCCGATTCATAGCCTACTGCTCAACTCTTGGGACGAATATACTTTGAAAACGTTAGATAAACTGCTGTCTGTTTAGCATCAAGATTAAAGGTGTTTTCTTTCCTACTAGGGATTATTGCATTATTTCTAGCTTCAGGATTGGCTTTTAGGGTCTGATGTTATTGCATTTTATGGGATTTTTCTATCTTTTTTTTGTGGTTTTAGCCCCATGATGCGGTGACAAACATCTGCCAGACTGCAGACAAGCAGCTGTTTGCATTGGTGGAGTGGGCCAAGAGGATCCCCCACTTCTCTGAGCTGCCCCTGGATGACCAGGTCATCCTCCTGCGTGCAGGTACCACTGCCTGGAGGGAGGGAGACACCAGGAGGGTGGATGTGATATGCACTGTCTCAAAGAATAGACTTTAAAAGTGATTTTCTGTTCCTGTATTTATTCAAGAGGCAACCAGAGTAGTGCATATGATGGTGTACATTTCTCTACCAGTGCAAAGCCCAAAAAGACTGATCATAGAGAAGGAGCTGCCCCTATTGTGGGGATATTTGTAACTGCTGTCAATTGTATTACATGCCCGTATATCCTGCTATTATAAAAAAAGACAAGACAGGGAAAGAAAGACCAGAAAAGAGATGGCTCCTAAAAAAAATAAAAATATTTAAAATAATAAGTAAATGTTTTTATAATAAATGGTTTAGTACCCAAATGTGTGGGGGTAGGGGTGGGTTTTTAATATAAATAAAAAAGAAAGAAAGAGCAGCCGCTAATTGTATGCTTTATTCCTCCTCTTTATCCGTCCTTCGTCAGGGGGCTATTGTAGCAGAAATGTCTTTATCCGTCCTTCGTCAGGGGGCTATTGTAGCAGAAATGTCTTTATCCGTCCTTCATCAGGGGGCTATTGTAGCAGAAATGTCTTTATCCGTCCTTCGTCAGGGGGCTATTGTAGCAGAAATGTCTTTATCCGTCCTTCGTCAGGGGGCTATTGTAGCAGAAATGTCTTTATCCGTCCTTCGTCAGGGGGCTATTGTAGCAGAAATGTCTTTATCCGTCCTTCATCAGGGGGCTATTGTAGCAGAAATGTCTTTATCCGTCCTTCGTCAGGGGGCTATTGTAGCAGAAATGTCTTTATCCGTCCTTCGTCATGGGGCTATTGTAGCAGAAATGTCTTTATCCGTCCTTCGTCATGGGGCAATTGTAGCAGAAATGTCTTTATCCGTCCTTCATCAGGGGGCTATTGTAGCAGAAATGTCTTTATCCGTCCTTCATCAGGGGGCTATTGTAGCAGAAATGTCTATCCGTCCTTCATCAGGGGGCTATTGTAGCAGAAATGTACAGTCGTGGTCAAAAGTTTTGGTCTTCACAAAGTTCGCTGCTTCAGTGTTATGAGATATTTTTGTCAGATGCTGCTATGGTATACTGAAGTATAATTACAAGCATTCCATAACTGTCAAAGGCTTTCATTGACAATTACATTTAGTTTATGCAAAGAGTCAATATTTGCAGTGTTGACCCTTCTTTTTCAAGACCTCTGCAATCCGCCCTGGCATGCTGTCAATTAACTTCTGGGCCACATCCTGACTGATGGCAGCCAATTCTTGCATAATCAATGCTTGGAGTTTGTCAGAATTTGTGGGTTTTTGTTTGTCCACCCGCCTCTTGAGGATCGACCACAAGTTCTCAATGGGATTAAGGTCTGGGGAGTTTCCTGGCCATGGACCCAAAATGTTGATGTTTTGTTCCCCGAGCCACTTAGTTATTACTTTTGCCTTATGGCAAGGTGCTCCATCATGCTGGAAAAGGCATTGTTCGGCACCAAACTGTTCTTGGATGGTTGGGAGAAGTTGCTCTCGGAGGTTGTGTTGGTACCATTCTTTATTCATGGCTGTGTTCTTAGGCAAAATTGTGAGTGAGCCCACTCCCTTGGCTGAGAAGCAACCCCACACATGAATGGTCTCAGGATGCTTTACTGTTGGCATGACACAGGACTCACCTTGTCTTCTCCGGACAAGGTGTTTTCCGGTTGCCCCAAACAATCGGAAAGGGGATTCATCAGAGAAAATGACTTTACCCCAGTCCTCAGCAGTCCAATCCCTGTACCTTTTGCAGAATATCAGTCTGTCCCTGATGTTTTTCCTGGAGAGAAGTGGCTTCTTTGCTGCCCTTCTTGACACCAGGCCATCCTCCAAAAGTATTTGCCTCACTGTGCGTGCAGATGCACTCACACCTGCCTGCTGCCATTCCTGAGCAAGCTCTGCACTGGTGGTTCCCCGATCCCGCAGCTGAATCAACTTTAGGAGACGGTCCTGGCGCTTGCTAGACTTTCTTGGGCGCCCTGAAGCCTTCTTCACAACAATTGAACCTCTCTCCTTGAAGTTCTTGATGATCAGATAAATGGTTGATTTAGGTGCAATCTTACTAGCAGCAATATCCTTGCCTGTGAAGCCCTTTTTGTGCAAAGCAATGATGACGGCACGTGTTTCCTTGCAGGTAACCATGGTTAAGAGGAAGAACAATGATTTCAAGAACCACCCTCCTTTTAAAGCTTCCAGTCTGTTATTCTAACTCAATCAGCATGACAGAGTGATCTTCAGCCTTGTCCTCGTCAACACTCTCACCTGTGTTAACGAGAGAATCACTGACATGATGGCAGCTGGTCCTTTTGTGGCAGGGCTGAAATGCAGTGGAAATGTTTTTTGGAGATTAAGTTCATTTTCATGGCAAAGAGGGACTTTGCAATTAATTGCAATTCATCTGATCACTCTTCATGACATTCTGGAGTATATGCAAATTGCCATCATCAAAACTGAGGCAGCAGACTTTGTGAAAATTAGTATTTGTGTCATTCTCAAAACTTTTGACCACGACTGTATATCTGTCCTTCGTCAGGGGGCTATTGTAGCAGAAATGTCTATTGTCCTTCGTCAGGGGGCTATTATAGCAGAAATGTCTAGCTGTCCTTCGTCAGGGGGCTATTGTAGCAGACCTGTATTTACTGTCCTTCGTCAGGGGGCTATTATAGCAGAAATGTCTGTCCTTCGTCAGGGGGCTATTGTAGCAGAAATGTCTTTAGCTGTCCTTCGTCAGGGGACTATTGTAGCAGAAATATCTTTACTGTCCTTCGTTAGGGGGCTATTGTAGCAGAAATGTCTTTACTGTCCTTCGTCAGGGGGCTATTGTAGCAGAAATGTCTTTACTCTCCTTCGTCAGGGGGCTATTATAGCAAGAATGTCTTTACTGTCCTTCGTCAGGGGGCTATTGTAGCAGAAATGTCTTTACTCTCCTTCGTCAGGGGGCTATTATAGCAAGAATGTCTTTACTGTCCTTCGTCAGGGGGCTATTGTAGCAGGAAAGTTTTTACTGTCCTTTGTCAGGGGGCTATTGTAGCTGAAATGGCCGAATCCACTAGTTTGAAGGGGTGTCCACATACTTTTGACCATGTAGAGTAAGAGAGCAAGAAGCAATCCATGACCTATCATTTGATACATTATTAATCCATTTGATCAGTAGCACCATGTGTTAACTCTGTTGGACAGTAGCAAATGCCCCAGAGGTTGTTGATGTCCCTAATAAGGTCCTTCTCTGCTCCTCTCTGCTCTTCTGTCCTGTGTATCTGTCCCGTCCCATCGGTCTCTCCTCCTCCCTCCTCTGCCCCTCTCCTGTCTTCTCCCCTCTCTTTTTCTCCTGTGTGTCAGGGTGGAATGAACTTCTGATCGCCTCCTTCTCCCACCGCTCCATCGCTGTGAAGGACGGAGTCCTGCTGGCCAATGAGCTGCACCGGGACAACGCACACAGTGCAGGGGTGGCGGCCATCTTTGACAGGTAAGCACACAGTGCAGGGGTGGCGGCCATCTTTGACAGGTAGGCACACAGTATGCGGCTAAGTTTCCCCTTGGTACAGATCTAGGATCAGCTTCCCCTAACATTAACCACTAGTGGGGAAAACGTACAATATTATAATAATAGCATAATTACCATCGAGATGTGTATATAATAACAGTGTTGTATTAATGTACATAATGTGAAAACACGCTGTAATTGACCCCACAGGGAGAGTGTGCAGAGTGCCGAGGTGGGAGCCATATTTGACAGGTAATAACACACACACACACACCAAGTATATGTCTATGTCGACAATTTTTGACATGTTCTGTTTTCACCTGTCTGCCCTCCGTTCCTCCTATAGAGTTCTCACTGAGCTGGTCAGTAAGATGAGAGACATGCAGATGGACAAGACCGAGCTGGGCTGCCTCAGAGCCATCGTCCTCTTCAACCCAGGTACTCTATTATTAACATCAGTCCCTCATACAATGTTACCTCTGCACGTTTACTGTCATGGTTTCGTTCCAATAACTGTTGTGTGTTGTCCCTCCTTCAGACGCTAAAGGTCTATCCAACACCGGGGAGGTGGAGCTCCTGAGAGAGAAGGTCTATGCGTCACTGGAAGCCTACTGCAAGCAGAAATACCCAGAGCAGCAGGGAAGGTAGGCATTCATGTGCTACATGCTTTAGTACTAGTATCCCATACACTAAAAGGAATGTACATTTGTATCATGTCTAAAACAATATATGCTAATCTGCTATCCTGTGTTGTGCTGCTAACTGGCACTGTAAGTGCTAAGAGTGTTGCTGTTGCATTCATGTAGCTTATTAATGTCCAGTTACAGAGGGTAGTGCGTACAGCCCAGTACATCACTGGGGCCAAGCTTCCTGCCATCCAGGACCTCTATACCAGGCGGTGTCAGAGAAAGGCCCTAAAAAGACTCCAGCCACCCTAGCCATAGACTGTTCTCTCTGCTACCGCACGGCAAGCGGTACCGGAACGCCAAGTCTAGGTCCAAAATGCTCCTTAACAGCTTCTACCCCCAAGCCATAAGACTGCTGAACAGCTAATCAAATGGCTTCCAGGACTATTTGCTCTGTTTATTATCTATGCATAGTCACTTTACCTCTACCTACATGTACATATGACCTCAATTACCTTGACTAATACTGTGGCCCCGCACATTGACTCTGTACCGGCACCACCTGTATATAGCCTCGTTAATGTTATTTTATTATTAGTCTTTAATTATTATAATTTCTTTACATTTCAGTTTATTTTAGTAAATACTTTCTTAACAGTTATTTTTCTTAACTGCATTGTTGGTTAAGGGCTTGTAAGTAAGCATTTTACTGTAAGGTATTCGGCGCATGTGACAAATACAATTTTATTTTGATTTTGTTATTTCATTCCCTACCTCTCCTCCCCTCCTCAGGTTTGCTAAGCTCCTCCTCAGGCTGCCAGCACTACGTTCTATTGGCTTGAAGTGTTTGGAGCACCTGTTCTTCTTCAAGCTGATTGGTGACACCCCTATCGACACGTTCCTAATGGAAATGCTTGAAGCGCCTCATCAGTTGGCATAGAGGTGGTGGGAGTGGAGAGGTGTTCTGTGGCCGGGGTTAGATAGCTTGGGTCTGGGGATTTGCTGGAGTGGGACTGCACTTTTAGTTATTTGGGGAATTCAGCAATTTCTCTCACTGCTGTCTGGGTTATGCTATTTAGTACACCACCACATTGTCTCTTTCAGAACATACATCCCTAAGACTTGTGATCTACAGGCTGGTGCTATATATTAATATAAGTTCTTGAATAACTGAGAGAGGAAAAAAAATAGTAAAGTATTTTTAAAAAATTTGACTCTTTAGTTCCCCTACTCTGGCTTATCGAAGCTACAATTTGGGTAAATGTTTTTATAGGACTATGTTAATGCTTTTTAGACAAACCCCAAATGATAAGCTTAAATTCTGTAAGTGATCCCACCCATAACCGGTTTTTAAAATGAAGGTAACCTGGATGCAACGAGACTGTCATTTAACCTTTTTATCATTTAGAATTGGAACAAGATCTTTTTGAAAAAAACATTAAAAACAGGTTTTATTGTCAAATCTTGGGAAAGTACATTACTGTACCAAGCTCGCTGCATACCATGTGTCTGACTCTTAGCTCCTAGTGGTTCTGTATCCCTCTCAGATTACCAGAAAGCAACACGTTAACAATAAACCCAGGATACAAAACGAGTAGGTGAATCACAACCGAACACAGAGCAGATTTGTATTGACTGTGTTGAGTAGCTTTATTTGTCTAGTAATATGCTATTAGCGTTGTTTATCTCTTTGCTGTTTTGTAAAATGTAATCACCTTGCAGGCAAAAAGATTGAGCTACATTGCACATTTTTGCAATGTACTATTTCTACACCATACTATACAAGTCATCAAATGTCTGGCCAGCAAACAGTCTAGTGTTTGTACTTTTGGTGCTATATGACAGACATTTGCCATAACTCATTTCAGCCATACACCAAACTGCAAACAGAAAAAATTATGCAAGAAACAAAAAAAAAAAAATCTTAAAATGTTGTAAATGTAGCAATACAAAATGAATACATATGCTTTCTTTCTGCTTGTCAACTTGTCCGTTCTGGGGTTTTTACAAAGTTAATCATTGTCTGTTTTAGAAAGGGAATACTCCAATATGTAATTTATCTAAACAATTGTAAGGTACTGTGCAAATATTGTTCAGGGAAAATACTATATATTGATAGGTTTGAATAATGAGGTCAGGAGACAGACAAATTATGTAATAATTGATATGTGCCCTTGCTATTAGTTCACCAATTGTATAGAGCAGATCATGTCTTAGGTTGTACTGGATTCCCTAAAGCCCTGTTTATACATTTACATTTTAGTCATTTAGCAGACGCTCTTATCCAGAGCGACTTACAGTTAGTGAGTGCATACATTTTCATACCTGGTTCTAACATGCATCCTTTGTCCTGATCCTGTCCACATTCTGATTGTGCCCACATTTTCAGACAGGTGTAGACGATTAAAAGATGCATTGTGATCAGATCTTCCTGACCACCCCAGGAGGTAGTCAGGCACGCATTGTGTCTGGGTATCTTACAAGTGTAGACATATGGACAGTGAAACCATTTAAAGCACAATTATTCCACCTTCTAAAATCATTGACAGGTGGCACCACTGTCTTATGGCATCAATATGTGTCATAAAGTAAATAAATACATATTATTTTGATAGAATAGCTCTCAAATAATTTGCATACAGGGAGGGACCAGGAAATCTGGTCACAATGCAGACACACTGGACAGATACGAGACACATTTTACTACCAAGTGTAAACATATTTCTGAGAATGTGGACAAGATCAGGAAAAAGGACGTGTGTTAGCGCCAGGTATAAACGAGGCTTTTGAATCACATTCAGCTGAATCTCATTGTTTGGGATTTTTTTGTGCTTTCTATAGTAGTAGTTTTTCCTGTTTCCTTTTTTTTTTTGGAGCTAGTTGTCTTGTTCATCCTCTCCCTGCTTACAGTTTATTAAAAAAAAACACAAACCGTAATCACGTTTAAAGATCCATGACACCTGTGGACTTAGACATATTAAACAAGACCAAATATGAGTTTTGTATGATGATCATGTGTGAACACCTGAACAAGTGTATTGGTATATGTGTCATTATCCTGTATAAGCTCTGGAGCAGTTTAAAGATCCGTGTGGATAAGTGAATTACAGCTTGGGTAATGTGGACTGAAAATAAAGAGGTTCAACTTTTCTTTCTTGTCAATTGAATGTTTCTTTGTGGTTTGTATCGGATATCAACTTCTCACAGACAAAATAAATGGGGGGGACTCTGTGGCATTGAGAAGTACAAACATACTTGAGTTAAACAAAACATTTATTTTTTTATTTTTTATTTACATTGCGTCTGTCTAAATTAGAGTAAAATTTTGCCTTATGACCTTGTTGGGCTGCAGTACGAGTCAGTCACCACCAGAGGAACCCATACACCCCGTCAGCGGTTGTTTCTGTCCTGCTTCAGAGCCCCCTGTTGGTTAGCCTTGTCCCATTCCCCCCCTGTTGGTTAGCCTTGTCCCATTCCCTCTCTGTTGGTTAGCCTTGTCCCATTCCCTCCCTGTTGGTTAGCCTTGTCCCATTCCCTCTCTGTTGGTTAGCCTTGTCCCATTCCCTCCCTGTTGGTTAGCCTTGTCCCATTCCCTCTCTGTTGGTTAGCCTTGTCCCATTCCCTCCCTGTTGGTTAGCCTTGTCCCATTCCCTCTCTGTTGGTTAGCCTTGTCCCATACCCTCCCTGTTGGTTAGCCTTGTCCCATTCCCCCCCTGTTGGTTAGCCTTGTTCCATTCCCTCCCTGTTGGTTAGCCTTGTCCCATTCCCTCTCTGTTGGTTAGCCTTGTCCCATACCCTCCCTGTTGGTTAGCCTTGTCCCATTCCCCCCCTGTTGGTTAGCCTTGTTCCATTCCCTCCCTGTTGGTTAGCCTTGTCCCATTCCCTCTCTGTTGGTTAGCCTTGTCCCATACCCTCCCTGTTGGTTAGCCTTGTCCCATTCCCCCCTTGTTGGTTAGCCTTGTCCCATTCCCTCCCTGTTGGTTAGCCTTGTCCCATTCCCTCTCTGTTGGTTAGCCTTGTCCCATTCCCCCCCTGTTGGTTAGCCTTGTTCCATTCCCTCTGTTGGTTAGCCTTGTCCCATCCCCCCCCTGTTGGTTAGCCTTGTCCCATACCCTCCCTGTTGGTTAGCCTTGTCCCATTCCCTCTCTGTTGGTTAGCCTTGTCCCATTCCCTCTGTTGGTTAGCCTTGTCCCATACCCTCCCTGTTGGTTAGCCTTGTCCCATTCCCTCCCTGTTGGTTAGCCTTGTCCCATTCCCTCTGTTGGTTAGCCTTGTCCCATTCCCTCTCTGTTGGTTAGCCTTGTCCCATTCCCTCCCTGTTGGTTAGCCTTGTCCCATTCCCTCCCTGTTGGTTAGCCTTGTCCCATTCCCTCCCTGTTGGTTAGCCTTGTCCCATTCCCTCTGTTGGTTAGCCTTGTCCCATTCCCCTCCTGTTGGTTAGCCTTGTCCCATTCCCTCCTGTTGGTTAGCCTTGTCCCATTCCCTCCCTGTTGGTTAGCCTTGTCCCATTCCCTCTCTGTTGGTTAGCCTTGTCCCATTCCCTCTCTGTTGGTTAGCCTTGTCCCATTCCCTCTGTTGGTTAGCCTTGTCCCATTCCCTCTCTGTTGGTTAGCCTTGTCCCATTCCCTCCTGTTGGTTAGCCTTGTCCCATTCCCTCCCTGTTGGTTAGCCTTGTCCCATACCCTCTCTGTTGGTTAGCCTTGTCCCATTCCCTCCCTGTTGGTTAGCCTTGTCCCATTCCCCCCCTGTTGGTTAGCCTTGTCCCATTCCCCCCCTGTTGGTTAGCCTTGTCCCATTCCCTCCCTGTTGGTTAGCCTTGTCCCATTCCCTCCCTGTTGGTTAGCCTTGTCCCATTCCCTCCCTGTTGGTTAGCCTTGTCCCATTCCCTCCCTGTTGGTTAGCCTTGTCCCATTCCCTCCCTGTTGGTTAGCCTTGTCCCATTCCCTCTGTTGGTTAGCCTTGTCCCATTCCCTCTCTGTTGGTTAGCCTTGTCCCATTCCCTCTCTGTTGGTTAGCCTTGTCCCATTCCCTCTCTGTTGGTTAGCCTTGTCCCATTCCCTCCCTGTTGGTTAGCCTTGTCCCATTCCCCCTGTTGGTTAGCCTTGTCCCATACCCTCCCTGTTGGTTAGCCTTGTCCCATTCCCTCCCTGTTGGTTAGCCTTGTCCCATTCCCCCCTTGTTGGTTAGCCTTGTCCCATTTCCCCCCTGTTGGTTAGCCTTGTCCCATTCCCTCTCTGTTGGTTAGCCTTGTCCCATTCCCCCCCTGTTGGTTAGCCTTGTCCCATTCCCTCTCTGTTGGTTAGCCTTGTCCCATTCCCTCTGTTGGTTAGCCTTGTCCCATTCCCTCCCTGTTGGTTAGCCTTGTCCCATTCCCTCCCTGTTGGTTAGCCTTGTCCCATTCCCTCCCTGTTGGTTAGCCTTGTCCCATTCCCTCCCTGTTGGTTAGCCTTGTCCCATTCCCTCTGTTGGTTAGCCTTGTCCCATTCCCTCTCTGTTGGTTAGCCTTGTCCCATTCCCTCTCTGTTGGTTAGCCTTGTCCCATTCCCTCTCTGTTGGTTAGCCTTGTCCCATTCCCTCCCTGTTGGTTAGCCTTGTCCCATTCCCCCTGTTGGTTAGCCTTGTCCCATACCCTCCCTGTTGGTTAGCCTTGTCCCAAACCCTCCCTGTTGGTTAGCCTTGTCCCAAACCCTCCCTACTGGATAGCCTTCCCAGGCTGTATGTGCTGTAGTGTAGACAACACTAGGCTATAGTACAGCCAGGGGAACCGGTTTCCAAGTTGACAGGAGTGAAAATGATGGACATGAATTCAGTATGCTACAGCAGATACAGTATATGGTGGACATGAATTCAGTATGCTCCAGCAGATACAGTATATGGTGGACATGAATTCAGTATGCTACAACAGATACAGTGTATATTGTGGACATGAATTCAGTATGC